AGTGGAAAATCTCTCTTATATGATTTTTGAGGTATTTTTGATCTCGTTTTCTTACTTTTTTATATGTACATATGCAAGCTGTCACTGCGACGTTTTCTTGCCCTTGGTGCTGTTATGTCTGTCATTACCTTGGGTGAAATTAGACAAATCTCTGTTTTCATCCTTGGGGTAAACCTGAACTACATATGACTCAAGGAAACCAAGCACACTACTCATAAGTGGAGTGGTGGTCGCTTTCGGTTTAGTTGCATTCTGTTCTTGGCCATAAACTGCGTTTTAACCAGAATGTCTGAGTTTTGGATGTTACTCCAGTAGATATGAGTAACTAACTCAAGTGGAATAGGAAGAGAAGTGGACCTAAAATAGAACTGCGTGGCGCTCCATCTTTTACGGGTTCCCATGAAGGAAAAACTCCGCTTAGCTACGACAAAGGAAAGGTGTAAAGGGCGATTGTTACTCTCGCTGTCTGCTAGCCATCCTTCAGGAGAGGTTTGGGCTCCATAACGAGAGCTTCAGTTTCCCCCACTTTCATCGTGGACGGCATCCTACAGGAAGTCACAATCCTAAGAATATCTTCGCTAGTCAGCAACCTCGTCTCCGGTTTATGAGAGCATTAACCAGCCGCACTGTCACAAGTAAAGTGAATAAGAGTGTGAAGAACTGGAGTCACAGAAATAGTGTGAACCAATGATTTTTGAAGTCAACCTTCACACAGCGGGCTTTGACAACGTTTTCATAGTGAGAAAGCTGAACTGAGGGCTTTTGAATCTTCAAAACTGACTGCTTGTTATCCAGAGCGGAATTTTTAGTTCCGGGATACGCAAAAGAGGAAACCTCACCTGCCTGTTAACAGTTCAGTCGTCGGACATGGGCTTCCCGGTGACGGGCGATCGAATCTTCACTCAGCTTGCGTTTGTATCATGGGTTTACAATCGTAATTCTTGCTCTCCCCAGGGCTGGCATCTAGTTTGTTATAAATAAATATCTTTATTCTCAAGTTATGAATTTTACATGAGAGAAGCCGGTTTACAGGCCTCATCATTATACCGTTTCCCTAGAGTTGCTCTTACCATCCCCACAGGATCAAGGGTAGTTATGCAGGTGGGCTGCGCCTGGAGGAGAGCATGTATTTTCGATTCTTACACTAACAACTTACAACTCAGCAGCCAGACAGCTTTAGCAGTTTGTGCCACGACCGAATTCAACGTCGTCGGTGCTACCAGAACACTCAGAAGTCCCTACATGGTGAATAGATGGCACAAGCCCTTAAGGTGGGCTTTCCTGTTGTCAGAGAGTGGACCCTTTACCACCAAGCCAAGTTCTGAAGTCTGACAATTTGTCCTGAATTAATTGGTGACACTTTAACAGAATGTGACTGAACTGGTGAGTGTCACTTAGGTAGTCCTTCGAACGCCTAGTAGAGTCTTTGGAAGGCAAGTTATCGGGGATAAGCATCACAGAATTGGACTGGTGAACGAGGCTCCTGAAGGTTTATATGGAGCCTTTCACTGGGAAGGACCATTTTCGTGGTCAACCGGTGGTGAAGAGCCTTCATCCTCAAGAGATCGAATGATCCGAGATCAAAGTTTTGACTGGCCTTTTTCGAATTTTATCCGACCAGCAAACACAAGTTTAACTTCCCGTCCACCCCTTTGATCTTCACTGGTAGAGCCAGAGATGATAACACTACGAATCACTTCCGTGAGTGAACGGAGCTGGGAATGAACTGTGATTGAGGGCCTTGACCACGTGCCCGAGGTATTCCGTTTGAGATCACTATTTCTTAAATCGTTTTCCGATTGACTAGTAAGTGGATTATTTTTCTATGGTTGGTTACACCCTGGTTTACACTCTGAAGGTTTAGCGACGCTATCAGGGTTGGTTCTATTTCTCAAAGCAGCACTGAAAATTACCACAGCCTGTCTGCATTTCTTCGCGTTATTTGTCGTACGGCAGTTATCAAACATGGCACTTCCCGCTCCTATAAGAGCATGTCGACCTCTCGTCCAGTTTCAACGATCACTTGGTGAATTCCTCCTATCTGACGAATCTCATCAATTCGTTGACGGCCAAACCACAAACGGTAATGCCACGTACAATGGTGCTACTTGTACCTAGACTCAAGGGAGACTAACAGCAATGACGAAGGTATACAATGCCGAAAACTAAACCCATTAGTTAAGCTAAAGCCTAATTTTTGTAAAAAAGAATGACCAAGAGTGAAAAGGAAGCGGAGTGCGATACGATTTGCAACGGTGAACTCAGTAGCTACTCTAATGTAACCTACATTTCTTCATAAGCTAACTGACCTCATGACTTAACACCTATTTTCTAAAACTCGTCCCTTAAAATAACCTCTCCACTCCGGATTGATAAAAGAACTGTTTATCGGTGCATTTTCATAGCATGTAACATGTTTCATTATTTGCCCTTTGTTATCACTACTTACTTGTAAGTAGCCTGCACCACCACAATGGTTCGGTAGCCCCGATATGGTAATACTGAGCAGGCAACACCATGATCATCCCCCCGTGGTCAGAAAAAGGGTGGTCGCCATCTTAAAAAAAACCACGAATTTCACTTAGATGTTTATAAATTTGCCAAACGTTTGTAAATAGGTATATAACAAGTGAATACCTGGCCCAAATCCTCTAATCTCTCTATTTCGTAGTGATATCTTTGGCTTCAGACTGATTTCCATTACCGTCGCGCACACTTTTATCTTCTTCCACCTTAGCTTACCTCTAAACAGTTGGTTCTGGATACTTCTTCAAGTAAGTCTTGTAGTCAGTACAAAGAACTCACCCAGACATATCATGGTTGATCTACTCGTACGTATTTTTGTGCTCCTGTTTCGAATTTCGCTTGCTGCTCGCTTTTGTTACTCACTTTTCGGATTTACCTAACCAGTCCTGCATTCAAATGGAATCCTAGAGATCGTATTTGCCAGTGTGCACCATGCCATCAAAACGTTGCGACGAACGCGCACACCCCAAGCTCATGACTGTGATGCGGCCCCACCTTCAAGAATATTGGAAGATTCAAACAATAACCGAGTAATTCCTGATTTTGAACTGAGCCTGCTTCAACACACCTCTTATATGCCATGAATAGCGGTATCTAATGTGTAGCTTCACGCTGTACATAATAGTCATTTCTCATTATCAAAATGATCAAACCCGTAAACTGGTTTGTATTTATGTAACCTATGTTGTATGAAATATATATATATATATATTATTGTTCGCCGAAGAAATCGTTACAGTGCACAGGTGTGAAATAGAGGCTTAATCCAGTCCATCTCCAGTATGTTTCGGCGTGAACTCATTGACCTGAGAGGCTAAACAATGGCAGTTCATACATGTCGTAGAAACACATCATTGCAGGGAGACTCCATGGCTAATAGTCTCGCGAGTTTCACTATCGTATGCTGTAAGGCTGACAGCCGGTACTTGGAGATTATCTGTCATACATACCACCACTGCACCAGCTCTATGCCTCTTATTTCTAGCATTTTGAAGTAAGTCGTATCCTAAGAAATGTGGTGTTTAACTCATACAGGGAATAAACCACTTTCGTATGATGGTTAGCATGCCCGGTTGGAGTTAATCAACCGGAACTTTCAGCTCATGGAATTTGTTCTCAAGCCCACAACCTTCGATATTATAGATCGTCAGAGTTTCTACTTCACTTGACTGACTTATGCACATTTCCAGAGCATTGTTCTAAACCCGGCAATCTGAGTAGCTACTTCACCTAGCTCACTTTCTCCATATTTTGGTGTTGCTTTCAGCTCTGCTATTGACTTCTTCAAATTCCGTGCTCCAGTGGTCGGTAACGCCCGACATCTGGATCGGATCCCATGATCATATAGGTGGAACACGGTAGCTGATCCCGTTTTTTGAGAAACCAACTCAGCTTTGGGGACTCGGAGCTCAATAGAATCTCTGCTACTAATCATTCATTTGCCGTTCCCACTGACTTCCTGATATTTACGCCAGAGGCACTTTCAAGGAGAAGTTTTCTAAAAAGTGACTATAATTTGTCTATATGATGGGATCGTCGTCAAGCAAGATCCGGTTTCTGTAGGTGGATTAGGTTGAAGATGATCAATCAGCACCCAAGTGGAGGCATTTCACTTTCGGGCGATGCTTTTGCTTGTAGTGCTCACCAGGATCGGCACTAAGCCATGTAAACTCACAGGAGTCCATGTATATTTTTCCCATTCCCCCATAGTCGATACCCCCAAAAGTGTACCCTATAGCCCCTTTTCTGCCATTTAATGCCTCTTATTTTGGGAATATATTTTTCGGAACTGAGGATAGCTGGGATTTTGATCAAGTCTTCCTTTTAAGGTTTCTGAGGAAAACACAGAAGTAACATGCAATGAAAAGAAGTGGCAACAGCTGACAGTTCGGTGCGATTCTGTTGAGGTTTTTAGACTTTGCTGTAATACCCTCTTGAACTAAGTGTGCTAAAAGGGGATAATAGATATGACAGATTCATTCCAAGGTCATCATTAAGGGCTAGGTAGGATAGTATGAGGTTGGCCTTCGGCATGGGCTAAGACAGTGGAAAATCGCAAAGGTTATTTGACCCTCCCTCGTCAAGGAATATAGGGAAGCTGGTGTAGTGTCTTATCATTAACATCGTCCTGACATATCTGTTTCAGAGTTAAGCTGTGGGGTCGCTGCTTGGATGTCATATTTCAAATGAGGCCTGATAAAAGTTATCACTTGAAATGTGAGATCAGTCAATGAAAAATTGTTTCAAACGTGAAACAGATATATTACAACAGGTTCAGCGCATCAGATTCTACCACAAATTTGGTTTCAAGAATGCCTCAGGTATCTTGAAACCAGAATGAACAATATCATTATGCCATACTTGAGAAAATTTTTTATCGTCCAGGTTAAGAACCCATGAAACAATCTTCTTCTACTTTCTCAAAATGAAGTTTGTATTGGAACTATGTGTTTCATTCACATGACAACCACCTCAACCATCTTTCAAAATATATCTATGTGTGAATCAAATAAATTGCTAGAAGGGCTACCGTTTTTACCCGGAAACACATTCAGAGACCCCACAGTAATTTAATTTTAAGGATAAAGTTCTTATATATTTAGCAAAGTAATTTTCATTTGTCACACACTCTAAGTTTGAAGAATGGCTTTCATTATGCAAAACCATATCCGGAAGTTGGAATTGGAGGCCGTCCTTTAAAAGTCAACCAGCTGACTGAAGAAGAGTTAGACGAGCTAGCTAACTTTCAACCCAGTCTGACGTACGGAAAAGCGAAACAATCCCCTCCTTCTGAATTCGTCCCAGCTCATGTAGCTTTACAAAATAAAGTCCTTCGGTTCTATGGCTATTTCAAGGAGACAGTTAATGAGTCTCCGGATGAGCAATATAGAGTCCGACTGGTACAAATATTTTACTTTTTGGAGGACGATAGCATGTCTTTAGTGGAGCCACCACAGAATAACAGTGGTATACCTCAAGGTAAATATTTTATTGTGAAAAATTATTTCCTGGAAATCTCTTCCATTTCAACTTTTTCGAAATTTAAATTCGGTGAAGTTAACTTTCCGTTTTATGAAGTCGTCATACAGAGGTGAAAAGCTTTATCGAAATGGGTGTAACGTAATCATATTTATTCGAAAAAACGCAGTTACAAATATGATTATTATGGAAACAACCATCAGCCGGTTTTGGTTTTAAGAAATTAATGAGAAGTTGTATCAAACTTTGAAAGTGGTAGTTCGCAAATGCCTGCTAAACTTACTCGACGCAAATAGTGAACGTCATATTATATTATCTAACTATTCTTATCTCTAAAGACTGGGAACGATATATGTTTCTATTATGTTTTACTAGCATTTGCTGTTTCCCGTCTTTCATTTGCAGCTTCCAGGAAGGCAGTGGTTTTCGTGATCTAGATAAATTTTTATTGTGATGATTGGTTTCAGATTCGGATTTAAATTTGTTGTTTGAGGATAGGAGGCTTAGAGCCTATATTAATCCTTTTCCAGTAGATTTCTGTGCTTGTCTAATCCCTTTTCGAACAAGTGAATTGATGACGCAGACACCACTTCTTTTGTGAGTCGGTTATAGGTGCTGATTACTCGGGACGAGGACCAGCACTCTGCGGAGACTGTTAGTTCTTTGATTTTGTAGCCTCCTGCTATATTCTCTGAGGTGTTCCTACCTAGTGGGATGGCTGGGAAGATCCTTTCATTTTCTTGAGGGAATAATTTGCAGGTGCAGAAACAAGGTGCTCGTTGAAAGAATTCCTGTGATCCACAGCTGAGTGCAAGAAGCAAACTGTCACTCCGGCTAAGTTTGCTTTGACTTCTTGATGATGTCCTGTCAGGTGATCAGTTTTAGAAAGAGGCGATAAACTGGCAGCCAAAGCACTACTCAGAAAGTGAGGAACTAGAATAGAGTCTCCAGTTACATTGCTATAAGATGGTGAAAACAGATTAGTTCATTCGGCCTCTTAACCGTTTTATTTATCACTATTTGAACCTGTTCTAACATATCTTATGCGTATTTAAGACTTAAGCTCTGTGGTTAGATACGATATTAAGTGAGTTTTGAAATACGTGAAATATGACACCCGAAGTATCTTCAACAAAGCCTTGAAAAGCCTTACGAAGGGACACCATGAATAGAAGAGCTTTAGCATCTAATGCTCTGAAATTATCTGGGACTTTGAAGCCTCAACTTACAATGTCTCCTAAATCCTTATTTTGAAAAACCGTAGGAAGTAAAATGTAATCATTCATGTATTCATTTGGATCGTCAAGCCAAATCTTCGTTTGCAAGAAAATTCTCTGGGCAAGAATGACCACACCTTAATCTATGCTGTTCATTTGGAGGACATCTATCTACAGAACAACAACATGAATGGACTTTTGGATTGTGTTGGTTAGATTAACTAGACTATGGTTAGCTACTAAGTATACAGAGTCTTTGGGGAATCGAACACATTATCTTTTTCGATTAAATTTCATGGATACTGAGACAAAACTGATCTACATTTTTCGATTTCGGTGCTTCAGGTTTACAAAAGAGTATAGTGAACAAAAACACAAAACTCTAAAGCAAAAGATAGCAATTGCTTTCTTTACATTAGTTTCAGTGAACCAGCACTTTTCTGATCCATAGGCTGATCTGAATTAACATCTAATATCTCTACAATATTGTTTATAAAAATTGAGAGGAAATGTAACTCATTTATATGCGCAGAAGTATAGGATTGGGGTAATCTAAAAACTTATACATATACCAACCAAGTGTAGTTTATAGTGGCCAGCTGCAATACTAGGTTTCAGTCATGCCATTATAACTAACTGGGTATTTCAATAAAATAGGCTTTATGTGTACTACATGATATATTCCAACTTTATCAGGCCTTGGTATGATATTAAAGTGTCTGAACCCATTTGACCGAAACTGTGTTAGAGTTCATTACTGAGTATTTTATTCGTGAACATGAAATATAGGTCAAACACAATTTCTTGATGGACCTTCAAATATTTTAAATCCAAGTCGCTTGAAAACACTGACTTAGGTTTTTATCAGTATGTAAGCATTTTTGGCAAATATTTAACTTGGGTGTATCCGGCTTTGTCATAAATCTCCTTCAAGAGAGTTTATCAGTGATCTTACCAAAGAGGGAATATAGCAATTTAAGCGGCAATTTTTACTTTCAGCTGATGTTCAGTCTCTTCTGCTATAGTTTTGCTTAGTAGGAGTGCTGAGCATGTGACCTATAGGCTCAACTGTTCATTGTTGCCTTCTGGTGCAAGAGGAAAGAAATGTTTTAAAGTACTACACTGATAATGACATATAAGCAGACGACTAGGGAACTATGTTTGTTTATTCTCTTCAGCAATTAAAAAACTACAGCTTTTAAGAGACCGAATTAGAAAATTACTGGTTCATAAGCAGTATAAGCAACTTATCATAGCTACTCGCAAGCTTCTCCATGTTAATTGACCTTCTAAGCCGAAATTAAATAAGTAACTAGAAAATGCTTTCATTGTGATGAAACCTGATTGTGCCTAAACAAAGATACCGAAACATGGAATATGCCGACAAAAAGTTTTGGTCTCCAGTAGGGAATTAACTGAGACTTTATCTTAGGATATCAGCCAGTAATAATCCAAGTTCCACCATTTTGTGTTGATGTTTACATATCACCACCATGAAAAACTTGATGACAGTCTTTATTATGATCCCTTCGACATATTCTGCCTATGTACCAATTAAATTCAGTTGGAAGAATCCTGAATTTCACATTTATTTATGAAATAAAAGCGGCACTATATAAAACCACATGAACATAACTCATCGTTGGTTGTCAGGAGACCATCTAGTGGGTCTGTGACCATTTGAGTTGTTACCTAATTTGGACATCTTAGCCAATGGTGGTCAACATAAACATTTTATTTAACAAGCACGATCATACAGTTTAGTTTATACTATTACGCACCACTATCCTATTTAATTTATCTACATACATTGCTATAAGTATATGGTCTGAATTGTCATACTTTGGGAGTGTATTTGTATGTTACTGCACGTAAGTTCAAAAAATTTACCAAAGCCATGCATCGCACTTCTAAGGAATGATCAGCGACAGTAGAAGCAATTTGTAACGAGTCTGTGGGTTGAAAATGTGTTACATAATATCGAATCGGAAATTCTGTTCTCGGTTCTCTGTAATGAAAACTTGCTTTGGAGGATGCACCAACTAAATAAAGTAAGTCTCAAGAGATCTCATCGCATGTCTCAAAGCTTAATTCAGATAATTTGTGTTTCCTCTTTCACCTTCTCCTGAAAATTTGATATCATAATATGGTTTTATTTGTTTTTACCTATCCAGTTGCAGTCGATCGGTTTCGTTGGTTTTTGATGTATACCTCAGCTTGAAAATAACTTGAATTTGCGCCTCATTGTGAAAGGTTTTCACAATAATTTCACCAATAGTTCACATTTATCGATAGTTTACCGTGGGTGGTGTTTTAATAAAGGCTATATTGACTTATATCTGAAGTCCAATCGACATGATTTCTTGTGGGATAATGTGGTGAGTACAATAAAAAGTTTCATTACTTCAGTTATTCTGGATACCACTTAAAAAAAAAGAGGGAAAATATGTTTGTCATTTAAACCAATTATCTATACAGTCGTAAAAGAAGAAAGAAGAAAATAATTGCATGAGCATTTTATACTGTTTCGACAGTTTAAATCCACTCATTAGTTGTAAGTACTAAGGAAGACGAGTGATATTTTGTCCTGCTCAGTCATCCACATTCAATAGCGTTTTCCTTTTACATGTCTTTCGTACAAATAATGATAAAACTATTTGAGCAAATTATCTTCTCCTGAAAAATTTCATAACTTATGAACTGAATATAAACCAGGCTTCATTGAAAATAAAGAAACTTACTTAAAATAAATTTCTGTTCATCACTACAGGTAAACTAGTCCGTAGGCACAGAATTCCAAAGAATGATGTTGGTGATTGTTACAACTGGCGTGATCTTAACCTGGGCAAAAGTTTAGCTATATATGGCCGAGTTTATCGCATAACAAACTGTGACAAGTTTACAAAGGTTTGTTATTTATACATAGAACTTTTAGGAATATTGTTCGTTAAGGTTGTTTTTTTAAAGTGGAAGTAGTCATGTTTTAAAGCTCTTCATTTTATTCAAACTAGGGGTATGACGAAAAATTGTTGTCATCTGATTATCTGAGACTAAGCTACGACGACCCCCTGGCTCAGTTGGTAGAAAATGGAGCCGGAAATCCGTTTATCGTTGGTTCGAATACGGCTGAGGTCCAAATTTTTGTTTCATCTTCAATCATCACTCAGTACAAAAATGTGTTAACTACTAGAACTTGAAGTTCTCAATTCAATGATAAGATGGACTAGAGGTCTATACTTTGTTAGCTTGAAATACGCGAAAACTATCAAACAGCTATGTCTAATGTAGCTGCATAGATATTGTCAACTTGCAAATCCAAACTGATATCAAACTCTGCTACCTTGTTTGAAAAGTTAATCATGGTGAAGCACTGCCAAGTAGAAATTAATATGACTGAAATTCGTGATGAAATAAGTTAAGAAGAAGATGTCCGGATACAACGAATGATTTCAACAGTATTATAACCCTTCATACTGATCACCGAATATCAGTCATTTTTGCCTCTCATAACATGCTTTGATGAGGATAGGTTAGCTCAAAATGTGCTCTCTCCTGTGAAGTGTGGCAGATTGCACTGGTGCTCTTCTATCCAATGCTTGACATTCATTTGGTTTTGTCTATCATAACGTTTCACTTTATCATTTTGCTCTACCATCGAAGACATGAATTACACATTGAAAAACTCTAATCTTATGTTGCTAAATATTCTGGGCAAAATATAACTGAGACTCATGAATTGAAGTTGACTAATGTCATGGACGGTGTTCACGTATGTAGAATTTATTCATTCCAACAATTAAAACTATCTAGATTCAGAAAGTTTTACTAATTGTAAATATGTATGTGACTGCTTACTTGGTTTATCAGATTTTCTATGGATTTCTTTGTAAGGTTGTTAGTTGTGCTTCTCTTTTTTAATTTTTTGTTGACGAAATACACGTTGGTCATCATATCTTCCATGAGCTATCCTTAATCGAGTAACTTTGGATCATTTATTTAAGTAAGCACTCTTGAACGATAACCTAGAGTAATATTTCCAAATGAAAGCTTGTCATTATTGGTGCTAATGCTGATGATGAGACAACTGAAACCCAAGTTGAAATGCATGCTGGTGAATACGCCTTTCTTAAGAGGATCATTAAAACATTACTTTTATTAATGATTTAGTTCTTTGTGTAAGATAATCTACGCATCTGTGTTTATCTTAAACACTTCTCAAGTATCATAAAAGAAGGTCATTTTGTTAACGTCTATGTTGCCATTGATATCTCAGACTGAAACTTTATTTACTTATTTGATGTTCAATCATTGTCATTTATACAGAAACTGATGCTGAACATAATGTAGATTTTTGCTGGCAATACTAAGCACTGTTGAGGGATCGCTTGTACTGACTGTTCATCCTACTTGGAGTGTCAAATAAAACTATTTTAATATATATAATTGTTTTTATATCATACCGTCGTTGATTGGACAGAATTGATCGGTTACCACTTACCGGGAAGCAAGTGCATCCAGCTGACAAGTCCCAAACAGAACGAAATGAGCATCCTGGATTCCACTGCTAGCCACTATCCATCACTACAATCATAAGAACAAAGGTAATGTCGGGTCATCCGCGCGGGATCCTTTATGCCAATAGGGACCGATCGATTCGGTCCAATAAACGACGGTGTGATATAAAAACAATTTTGTGTACTGAACACGATAACCGTTGCAAAAGAAGTGGCTACCGTGGCTCGATGGTATAATGGATAACGCTCAGGCGTAGGGAGCGGTCGCTCCCGAGTCCTACTCCCGGTGGGAACAACGTCACTCTCCGGGAAGCAGGTACATCCAGCTGACGAGTCCCAAATAAGACGAAGTGCGCATCCTGGATTCTACTGCTAGCCACTATCCATCATTACAAAACTCTTTTAACCTTTTTGGCAAAATCAAGTTTCTTTTGAGATTGAAATCAGTTTATTTAACCAGTCATGTAACCACTTTGTTCCTTATTTTCAAATGCATTGTAAATTACCTTACAGAGTTAGCTTTCAAGAGATTTTATTGAAACGGTTTATTGTTAGATATCTGACTGAAATTGTTTTATACATTTATTACTTTTGATGAGACTGAACGATGTAGAACAAAGAAAAATTAACGTGATTGAACATTGTTGTGTTAATAACAGTTTTCCAATGAAATTTGTGCAGAAGTACTGTGAAGGTTATGAAAAGATCCAGGAATGCAATACTGTAGAAAAGAAAAGTGTTCCTTTAGACTAAGATCCAAAATCCATGTTTTTGAGAGATTCTCTTTATAGGTCAAAGGTGCATTATCCAACGCTCACTCAATTCTCAATTCAAACATACACTCGGAGGCAATCAGACAGGAAGAACGGACAGACACTTCTGTATCAGAAGTGTTGTACTTGTGCACACAGTTATAAACCTCAGATACTGAATTTTGATTAGCAGTAAGATAGGATGTCACTCAATCGATACAAGGCAAGGAGTTGAGATATGCTATTCTTTTATGGTACTGAACAGACGGAGGAATTCATATGTAAACAGTTGGAAGGAGTTATCCGTTCAAAAGCAACCACTTACCAAGTTATTATATGTTACATTTCGTTATAATGATAACTCACTTTCTTGTTCACATGGGGTGCAGCTGATGAAAACCATATAAACCAGAATCCCTTCATTTACTTTGTAAATGCTCATCTTATTGTGCTGTTTAAGTTCATTAATGAATGTGTTTGAAGCCATTTTGATAAAAATGGTTTACAAATATAATCTGTAAAGATGCTCTTTTTTAAACGATGAGATAGTTATACATATCGAAGTTTATAATTGTATGAAAACGCAGAAGTAACTAAAGAAAGATGATATATCGGTAGTTGCTACTACATTTTCATTCAACTTGTACGCATGATCAACCATAAAACACCACTGTACTAAGAGAAAATTAAAGCAACGTACCTGGAACAATACACATGGAGTAACTAACTGTTTATTAGTTTATTCATTTGGTATTTCTACCAGATAGATAGAAGAGTAGATAAAAAATCAGTTCTCTACAAGATCTAAGGCTCTTGGTTTCAAAGTCGGGGGAGGTGGGGAAGATACTCTGCGACCGGTTGGTCCATATAACCCACTACCATTCTTTAATTCTTAGATTCAAATATTAAACCATCTGTTTTGATATTTAGTGGTAGAAAATCAGTATTAACTTTCATACAACAGGTAGTACATAACACCTAGTAAATGAATTTGTATATAAGCACTAATTTTTACCTTTATGATATTATTTCTAAGGGATTCACATTTCTTAATGGTTCTTAACGAAGATGAAAAAAGATGACAAGTATTGTAGATTCTATGCTATTTGTTTAATAACTTCAGATGGACATGAAATTTATTTTTCTAATAAGGTTTATATTTTAAGTTACAAATCATTTATCACTTTCCATCAGGAGAAGTGTATGTTGGTATATAGTGCCTATAAGATGTCCTTGAGTTATCGAAAACTTCAAAACGCTTAGCAAAAATAAGCGCGTATGGAATTTAGTAAATCACTAAAACGCTGTGAACAGGGTCGGGTGTTTAGAAAAAAGAAACCTAGACGAAAAAGGTTAGCACAGAATATGAAGTTTGGGTACGAGATTTTCTGCTAGGTACATCCCTACATCCACCAATAACAGTACTATGTTATACTTTGTACATTGGTTTACTAGGCAGATTACATAGCAATTTTTGGAATCTTGTGAATGCTGCAAACTACAGCATCACCTAGATTCTTAATCTACGTGATTATTTTTGGTAAACAGTCAGTAGAAATCCGCCTGTTTTGGTAATATTTCGTCAAAACGAATGATGAGAGTTACTAAGTAAAAACGGAAAATACTCAAATATTGATACATGAGGAAGTTATGTATATACTTTCTATCCAGTTGCCAGTGGACATTTAACCTCGAGATAATACGAGGATTCGGAAGATGCATTGACAAAAATAATCTACTAAGAGTTAATCCGTTTTCATCATTCCCTGTAATTCCATACTTTTGTTCATTATTTTACAGGATTTCTTAGAGAGTGAAGGAGTTGTAGTCAATGAGCCAGAGCTAGAACCAATTGATCCATATCTAGCTGAAAGAGCTAAACGTGAAGCAATAGCTCTTGGTAAAACGCCTTCGTCATTTGATAAACGACGTCAATATCTTGAACTGGATCGTAAAGTTTTGCGGTTTTATGCTGTACAAGATGAAAGACATGAAATGTTCGGTGATTGTCGTAAATTTATTATACATGTATGCATTTTATATTTATTTATAGTGAAAACAGTTGGTATCACAGGTATATGATAAATGACTAATCTGGATTATTAAATTATGATCCATAAATGATATCCATAGGAATTCATTCTGTTAAGAACAAGAGGTACTTCATTTACCTCAATATATACAGTTGTCAAAACGCTTGTTTCAAAGTCAGTTCAGCAGTTGTTTACGTAGAAAAAATATTCTTTATATATTTGCTTGGTGCTAAGTATAACTAGAATCCAGAATACATGAATTTTGTGTTATTTGAGATTCACTGGTTTAATGACCAACAGGGAGTTATAAGTATCAATAAGTGAGAAACTTTCCTTCAGAATCCAAGATTGTAAAGAACTCAAATCTAGTTAAATAGAAGGGAAAATACCCAGGTTTTCTAAACTACAAAAGCCGTTCACTGCTGTAGAGGTGAATCAGCCCACCTTAATTGTTGTCTACTGTTTGCTTAAACTAAAGACCTTCCATATTGGATTAGTCTATTTGAGATAGCACAGAATGATATAGTATTACTTACTGGATAACAATTTAAGTAGGCTTCTGGGAACGTATGACTCATAAGACGTTTAATCCTACCTAAAATATGTGGTGGATCTATGTGTCTCACACATTTACTGTGTTTAAATTCGAACATAGCTATAGCTTCTTCGGATGCATAAACTTGATGGGTTATAGGATAAAGTTCGCTTTCGAGGTAGAAGATGAACGGGGAGAACTAAATATGTTAGATCGTAAATAAAACGAAGATAAGATGATAGTTTTGACACATGTGCCTACAGAAAAACATCACATTCCAACAGACAGCTAAACTTCCAATCATTTCACACTACATTGGTAAAGGTGAGCTTAGTCAGATGTCCAAGCAATACAGCTAAAAGTCCCTCCAGCAAGTAAACAAAATTAAATAAGGTTCAATGCCTGGCGCGGTCATGGACACACACTGCTGAGGAGTCTCATACCAGGATGAAACAGTTGTTTAGCGTCCCCAGGTTTCCACTATTTTTCCGACTGATGTCAGTCTGTGATGAAAACCAACCTGGAATAAAATAACGAAATAACAAACATAAGAGAAGCTTTACTGATTAATTATCCTTCAAAATTTATTCAGAAACGTATTAAAATGCATAAAAGAGGAGTATTGATGCAAACAACGATTGCAACACCAATAGGAAGCAGTTTGAGGCATATGTAATGTTACCATATAAGAGAGAAACTTCAGAAACCCTACTTAGGATTCTCAACAAGGCTGGCAACAGGGCGGTATTCAAACCTATAAACTCATTGAGAGACATACTTTACTGGCTTATGAATTATACTGAACCAACTAGATAAAATAATTTAATTTACCAAATACCTTGCAATGACTATGAGGTCAAATTTATAGGTCAGACTAGCCAAACGGAATTAGTCAGGTTAACAGAACATAGGAACCTAAGTTGACAGACCCTAATAAAATGAGTAATCTAGAGAAGAATTCAGCCGTAGCTGTGTCTATTATAACACACAACCAAACAATAGGGTTGAACCGATTCACAGTCCTGAAGACTAATGTACTTTGGTGGAGAAAGAGGGAGTTTGATCATTAGATCTACGCTTACCAGTTCAAGGCCAAACACGTGTAATCGAGATGTGGAAAATTTTACTACCAATTAAAACAAAGATTAACAAACAACGGAACTATAAAAACCATATCAGAAAGTTATTTGGTTACCTTGATAAGATTATGAATGATAAGTTCTGCTCGAGAGGTGATCTAGTAAATAGTACTAAATCATTGTGTGATATATCAAGTAGACTAATGTAATATAGAATTACATCTGGCCACGGTGCCCAAATCCTATCCCTATGTTAAAAAGACGTTTCACTTACTGGGATTAGTATGACTTATCGTTCTATTGATAATTTACATATATCAAGTAATCGAAATAGTTTCCTTTTTCTTAGATCAGTAATGTAAACTGTTAAACTCCTGGACCTATAAAGGTGATTTTCAATTACATCAGAGGTTAATAGTTAATCGAGCAAACTACTTTAAAAAACATGCTCTTCTAACGACTTACAAATCTTAAATTCCATTTCTTCGCTAGGTCCGGAATGAATACTGATAAAACGTCTCAAAACCGAATAAAATGATTTCCTAGCCCACCCTGGGTTTACTGGTTATTCATTAGATGCTGTTGTCTGACTAAAGTATAATATTTTATTGAACAGAAATACGAAGATAGTAAATAATTATCAAAATATTTAAAAATAGTTATATGATTGGAAAAGCGGAATAGGCTAACTAGTTAACTGATGTCTATTTAACATATTTTGTTAAAGTATTTTTGAATAGAAAGGAAATAATAAAGGGTTCAATCCCTTTTACGGTATTTCATGGAACTGAGTTAACTAGGAAATTTACTTCAGATGAGAATTAGGGTCAACTTTAATAAGGATTTAAAGTTGCCTCCTATTCTTAGTGTTTTAACAGATTCATTAAGAAATAACTGGAAGGAAATTGTGATATGAAACTGTCTTCATTCAGTCCATCAGTCATTTACTGATTTCACCGTATCTTACATGGAAATGGACAATGTAGGGACTCAGATTTCTAATTAAAAGACACCGATTGGTAACCGATAGCTTGGTTTGAAGAAACGAAATATACTGGTATGTACTAGGAGTACTTAGATATGATAAGGATTGTAAACTTCAGGATCAAAATTTGACCTGATAGAGTTGAATAGGTTGAGCATTGGGTAATTGGGTTATAAATGAAATATATTGTGTAAAATCCCAATGAAGTAGAAAAATAAATTTCTGACATTTCGTGACTTCGTGGAAATCGTTTCTTCAGAGAATAAAACCTGTACAAGTTATCGAATAGTTTAAATAGTAAAAGGTGACGAATCAGATCACATTGTCTATACATGATGATAATATGAACGCGAATGTCACCGTTATGACGTTCATATTATCATCATGTATCGACAATGTGATCTGATTCGTCACCTTTTACTATTTAAACTATTCGATAACTTGTACAGGTTTTATTCTCTGAAGAAACGATTTCCACGAAGTCGCGAAATGTCAGAAATTTATTTTTCTACTTCATTGGAATTTTACACAATATATCTCATTTATGATACGGATTGTTGACAGGCTGTCACTATTCAGTCTTCCCTAAGAGTTGTAGAAATGTCTTGTCGATGATGTCTAAGGTGGTGAAGTCTAGGTAAAACATAACTGAATGTCTGAAAACCACTACTAGCCACTATCCATCATCAGTATGAAGATAAAAAATACAGCCATTACCGAGGCATCAGCATAGGAGCCTATATGCCAATACAGACCGTTCAATTCAGTCCAACTAATGACAGGATAATACAAACAACATAAGATAACTCAATACCCACTGAATTCCAGCATCTTAAAACAAATCCACCTCTGCAAACTGTTGATTCTCACTTAATACTGGATTGAATTTAAAAAAATTTCGAACAAAATTTATAAAAGTTAAGAATTTTACATTCGGAATGAGGGTGACTATAATTATCTGACATTTCCATATCAAGCTAGGAAACCTTATCAACATAATCTTCTTTATTAAGTTAAATAAAGTTTCTATCACAGCTTATTTTTGCTTCTTTCTTTATTTTGAAACTCATAAAACAAATGAATAATATTCAAATTACCATCAGTATTACTTAGCTGATGATACCTTGGAGATATGTGAGGTTCATACAGTGAATGATGGTCGTGATCCATTTCCACTACTGCTAAGACGTGAAAGGATACCGAAGAGCCGTGATGATATACCGTCATCATTTCCAAGTATAAGTATGGAGATTTCAGGTAATCAATTTTGTATATATTTTTCACTTTTATTTCATAATCTGTATGTAATAATTAAGATTAGAATATTATCATCATTATTACAAACAACGCACATTTTTTATTGAATACATAATTAATAGAAACAAAAGTTGTTTAACTGTGATTATATTTCCATGGTAATTTCTATCGGCGCACTTGTTAGCGCATGTATTAAGATTTTGTCTTTTATGAGTAAGAGTCTTTGGCTGATTCGCTTCGAACTTATGGATTTTTTAAGTGGTTATTTAAAAGTACCATTATCAAGTTGGATGTCTTTGTTAGTAAAAATCTACAGTTTACTTTTATACATGCTGTTGGCAGCTTTGCACTAAATCAGCAAGATTCTTCTTTCTTGTTCAGAAACTGAGCAAGAATAAAAAATTTTTTCTAAGAAAAGTAGTTGTTGAGTCTATTTCGTTTACTTATGGCTCAACAAAAGGTTAAACATAGAGTTTTGATCACTTTGGTTTATATTGTTTTTATTTCTTGTTATCTTAAGTATTACGTCTGTCTAAGGTTGAGTTATATGCAAAATGATGCCCATTTAAAACTGTTTAGACTTCTGACAGACACTCAGACAGACACAAAATCATTGTAGTACCTCGCACACAAGTGTTTCACTCCAAGTTGACACGATTCACAATGGTACACAAAGAACAAGTAGATAGAAAAACAGCGATATCAAAGTAAGCAAACTTGTATGAGAGATCAAAAACAAGATTTTCAGCGAAGAGGGCTCTTTTCAGCGAATTTATTCGCAAGCTATATATATATATATATATATATATATATATATATATATATATATATATATATATATATATGATATTTAAAGACTGCAATCCGTGAGGAAGACTTAAATAATGGGGCGTTGAAACAATAATAATGGTGGTGATAATTATAATGTTGCTAGTTGATGACGTAAAGGTCGAATGATAACAAAAAGGGGTTAAGTAAGACTTTCAAATATTTTATAAAGTGCATATAGATTAAAAACGGGGTGAGAACGTTACTATATATATACAGGAATGTACAGCTTGCGAATAAATTCGTTGAGAAGAGTACTCTTCACTGAATATCTTGTATGAGAGAACAAATAATCTGAAGACAATGGTTAGTGCAGATATTCAAGCTTTAGAAGATGTCAAAGAGTGAATTAATCTGTGCCATTGTGACCAAGAGCCGTTAACCACTGATTGCTTTCTTCTCGAGGATCCCAGTCAGACAGTCTATGTCTCCGTACACGACACAGGCCAACAGTCAAAGACTTCATCGACTGGTGACACATCTTGGTTTGATCGCTCTGAGCCCTTTACCAACCTAATCCAACGTCCTGTGACATGACATGTCCAGGTAGGCGGCGGATTGGCATGCACAATACACTTCCAAGCCATCTCTGTTGACTAAGCTTCACAACTTTATCAATCGACTTGTCTGTCATGCCTAATACCCTTCGCCTGACCTCAACATTGCTCACACGGTGATTCCACTAAACGCAAGCAATGATACGAAGACATTTTAGATCAAAACCCTGAAATCGCTTTATGTCTTCTACTTTGAACGGCCATGTCCCACAGTCGTACAACAGGACAGAACGGACTGCAGTGCATTATATAGTCGTCCTTTGGTAAGTAATCGGATATCTCGTCGGCGCCACAGGAGATACAAGTTGGTAGATGCCATACGGGCCTTCTTTATTCGAGCTGAGATTTTGTCGGCCAGCAAGCTGTTTGAGCTGATGCAACTCCCCAAATAAGTGAAGCGGTCGACAGATTCCACTACTTACGCGAGTTTTATCTCTTCCCTTAACCAAACAGTGACGAAAGTCTTTTCTTTTTCTTTCAGTCTTCATCTTTCGGCTATATCAGTATACTGACTAAGATCACCCTAATTGGTAAAAGTCAGACTGGAAAGCACTGAGTTACACATCTAATACTAAGGGTTGGCCGAATCCTATCAATCATTTCGCACTGTAATCATCACGATCAGAAACTTACCAACGTGGTGTAATTCAGCTGAAGAGAATTAGCAGGAAGTCCTTGACTCGGAAAATTCGACCTGGACTTAGGACAAGACGCCATAGAATTGGTTACCCTGTTGAGGCCAACAAACATATTCAGCTCAGTCCTAAAGGAGAGTTATAAGAGTATGAATATCTGAAAGGAAATAAGTTTCCTTGCGGTCACAGATAAGCCTTACAGGTGAGTGCCAAGAGGCATAAAACCTTGGTTCAGAGGTGCTTACCGATTGGCTCTCATCCTGTGGTGCACAAAAACATGATACACCATAGTATCATGTCACTTGGTTTATTGACCACTTTGAGAAAAATCAATCTACAAGCCTTTATCAATCATAAGTTATAACAAGTAGAAAGGTGCACCAGTTACCTACTAGTGACCTATTCATAGATTTTTCCTAGTTCCGCTGATGATAAAGATCTAGTCCGGAGTACAGGTTCTGTGAGTGTAATCAATTGGTAGAAAACTGACTGCTCTAGCTATATGGATAAACTTACTAGCTATGGTTCGTTGATTGCTAAGCGAATTATGGTGTAGTTTAAAAAACGCCTATCTAGTATTCATCGAATCTTTTTCGACATTTAAGAAATAAATTTCTATCTTCCAAAAGTCAAAAAGATAAAGCAAATTCTTTTTGCTTAAGAAACGTCAGAGTATTTCATGCACATGCATTTCTTAGAGTAGAGAGCGGAAAACAAATTGTATAGAATGACATTATATCACTTTATGTTTTCTGATTCCCTTCAGATGCTTACAATCTATGCGATCAAACTACTGAAAAGTGATTTTTACATTTAAAAGAAACTATCATTGACATTTTACTGTACAAGAAACTCATTTACAAATTTTGAAATGATAAAAAAGATTTGTAGCTCAGGATGAGGATGATGATGGTTTGATTCATAAAAAAGTTAGTGAGTGCTGAAGATTCCATCAAGCCTGATGATGAAATATTCACAACATAATATCAAAGTTCAGAGAACATTAAGCCACCATCTTTTACAAATTCTTTTCATACTCAATGACATTATCTCTTTTTGTCATTATTATCAGTAGTGAACTAACTAAAATAACAATAAACTTCACTTTTATTCTGTTCAGCTCAATTCACATGCTTTATTGGAGTGACGCTAAACACCACCCTAGCAACGGAAAATCTACCTTTCTGGCTAAAATAAAGTCTCAATATTTTCTTTAATCTTTATTTATTTTTTATCTTTCCTTCCATACACTTCTGTCTACTTTGATATAACTCTTTCCCCACTTGTAATTTGTAGGCTTCTGTGAAATGTGACAACGTGAAACGATATGCTTCTATACAAGGCTGTACGTTGATTTGTCTGCTTGTGTGTCTATCTGTTATACGAAATCTGTCAGATTTTACTCGACTAATGCAGAATTATAGAACTTCTAACAAGAGTTCATCAGTTCGCTTAACCACAAATCATAATAACACTGACAACAGATAACAGAATGAATAACGAAAATATTGGCAGCGAAGAAATAAACTGGTGGTAAGGAATAAGATGTTCAAAATGTCAACAAATGTCAGGAAATCTGTGTCATTATAGTCTGTATCGGGGAATCATCCTCTGCTTCCAGGAATCGATTTTTAACATCTCAAAAACACTAGATGCATCTGTGCCCGAGGTTGTATGTTGATTTTGTCAGTCATTACGCCAACAATGAGTTGACCTGTGGACTGATAAAATTATTCAGTCCGATAGCTTATAGTCTTCGCTAATATATTTACACTTCGACCAGCATTTTCTGAAAAGATAGGTCAATATGTAGCGTTACATGTGCTTTGGAATTTGACATAAGCTGGTTGGATGTTAAAGCAAATGTGCTCTTTACGGTGATATTGGAACCTCAATAAAACATTACTGCACAAAGTATTTGACTCATTACCTTGTATAAGCAACACTGTGGTTAAATCTAACATTCGCTATGCTTATACAAAGAGATTCATATCGTCTCCATAATTTAAAGTCATAATAAATGTATGTATCAACTAAACTTGGTTGCAGTTCCCAAAACCACCTGACTGTTTGAGCATACTTTCACATATAATAACAACAACTGAAATTAGATAAACAAATAATTTTATCGTATCGTTCCACTTAATTACACTGCTTTAACTACAAATCAGCTGTCATGTACTTCATTGTGCACATAATACCTTGTAAAGAAATTCTGCCACCAGTATATTGATTCAAGATGCACATTTCCCCACCATAGGAAGGAAATGGAAAATTAAAGGTCGAAACAACTGTAACAACTGTTGTCAGTGATTGTGTGAGTCCAGTTTGTATAACAATGATGAAACTTGTAGGATGCAGTGAATATCAAAGCTGATGGAGTAACAGTCAGCTTTTCAGCCGTTCATTCTTTCAGAAACCTTCGGTAGTTTTTTGCTGGTAGTATCTTCTGTTAACGTAGAGAAATGAAATTGGCATAGTTGGTTAATTACTTAATTCTATTAAATTTTTAACTTTATAATGAATGTGGATTGTTTGACTTCAAAGATTTTATTTCTCCTTGACACTTTGATACCTAAATAAGAACCTTACTAAGTTGTTTTCATCAAAAACACCTTTCATAACATAAGTAGATGGTTCAAAAACTATTCATGTGTGGAAAACATCCATATGAACTTGGAAATTTATGAATAACTTGTCGAGTTTGTAGTAAACTGACCCATTCACTTCATTAGGCTAGACCGTTATAGCCAAGTATACTCAACTCGATATAGTCTCAACGCAATTTTGATGCACTCACTTCACTATCAGCAAAACGTTTGTTCAGTGTTCACGTCGCTGAGATCTACCTAGTAAAATATGCTGTTCCAAGTCAGTAGTATGTAACTAATCATTTGTACTTAAAGCATACGAAACTAATCTATGCTTGTTTTTATATCAAAATGACTTGTCGACATAAAATTTGTAATTGTCCTTTTTAGCAAATGAAGTGAAAGAATACTTTGCACCGAAAGATTTTCGTATTGGTCAGTCGGTGAATATACTTGGTCGAAAGTATTTAATATATGATTGTGATAATTTCACAAAAGCCTGGTATCATAATAATTTTGGATTAACTGATTTTACTCCACTGGATGTAGAGATTAAACAACCAGAAATGCCAAAGAAAGTTAGTGAATGAATTGCTATTTGTATATGAATGTACCAGATAATTATTACATTTTGATATCATTTTAAAGGATGGTTATCAGTGTAGTTTGGTATGTGCTTTCTATCTCATCTGCAAACTGTTTGCTCGATGCACTTACGTCCTAGAATAAGAAAGTCATCATGCAATGGGATGCAACTAGATCAAACTGTCCAATCACTGCCAACTAGTCAACATGATGATGAACGTCATGGCAATATTGAGGTATACGTGCAAAAAGCTTATTTTTCAACTGATACTAATTAATTCAGTCTGACAAAATAAACGACGGTAAATAACAAAATCTAAATAATGGTGATTTCTGAATACTTTATTCATTCATACGTTGAATGGAACTTCTGTTTTATGTCGTAAAGCGTTCAACCCATTGCCTGATTGGGGAAAATAAACGAAAGCCTTGCATATGCGAACACTGCAGGTGTGAATAAATTTAAGCAGAAATCAACCCAAACTTAGACCAGCGGTTAAGCATACAAACTGGACACCAGTTAGGATCCGTTGTAGCTACCTAATGCCTATTCTTCAGAGGTGACCAAAGTCTATAGTAAAGTTTGTGATGTGACCAGTGTGATGAGAGGTATGAAGTTGTGGAGTGCTATATTTTGATAGACTCTCAAAATCTAACATCAAAATTCAGTACTGAGCGAAGTGTAGCCAGTTTAAACTTAGATTATGATTTCTTATTGATACAGTTTGATGAGCGTATACTAATTAAAAACGCCTCTTTCATACTAGGGATGTCAACAATAATTCGATATCTGTTAACATTTCAACCAAAGTTTTCACCACTGAACGAAAATGTTATTAGATATGATGTAAACACTAACTGAACAAGATAATTCTGAATCCTTAAAGATGTATATTGAAGCATTATTCAAAAGAAAAAACTTTTAGCGTTTTTCCTCAATGATATGAAATTTCAGTACTTACAAGAAGTACTATGCATTTTCTGCTTGATAATGTTTAAAGTTAAGTTAGAACAGGAAAATTTTGTGGACTATGTAATCTCAACTTTAAGTTTGCCTTTATTGCTGATTGACAGTAAGTTGAAAACCGTTGAATATCTTGTAGCACTGATTACACCTTTCATCTTGAATTGAGATTCTTTCGTAGTGTGCACCCACAACCCAACAGGGGATAGAGCTAAAGAACTGTGAACTCTTGCAATGAGTATGTGGTAGATCAACTACTGCATTTGGATCCAGTGGTTGTTCCACTCTTATTAATTCACGACATAATGTGACTGTCACCCAGTATCGTCAGTGAGTAACTGTCTTCATCTGTAACTACAGTGCAATCCATGATAAAAAGACTTTAAAATCAGTCAGTCCCTGCGATTCATAAATTTAATTTTGATAAAGAATAATAACAGAGACTACAGATTCACCGACAGGAAGTATTTATGTAACCAAATTATTTTGAAATAAGACAACAGGAATTCAAAAACCTTTGTCAAAGGATACACATCATATTCATGCCACTCCTAAATTTATTTAAGAAATTATCTACAGATTAACATTTAGATGCTGAGGGAAAACAGATGGAAGATTTCCCGTTAGTTTTCCAACTGATGTTCTCAGAAATTCAAGTCCGAAGATGAATTAGACGATCATGAGCCCAAATTGTATACATCTGACTAACTAGTTATGAAGTTACTGCTTCTGTATAATAAATAGTCAAAGAATTTAAAGTTTACTTCTAAGAAGTTATCTTTAAACTATTTCAAACGAAATGCACGAGACAATTTCGTTATTTTGCTGATTTTCTGAGTGGAAATCATTCGGTTAATTTCGCCTTAACTTTATTGAATTTCATCATAGTTTTACTCGAAATCTGTGTTCCACTCACTCCTTACAAGTGTAGAATCTCCTATCCGATGGACTTCAAATCCAAATTAGTTTTGTAGACAGTTTGTAAACGTATGTACCTAACCCAACTAAGCTTCTGTGGAAGTGACTAATATGTATGATATCTTCTTTGAGTCCTGACATCTACTGATGCACTGCTGATTGTCTTATAATACTGGACTGTCTGTCAATTTTAGTTCTAAACTTTTAAGTAACAACCATCCTCAGCAATGTGTACTGTGTTCAAGTCTCAATGATAACAGCACTACTCACTACGGTACAGGTACATCCAGCTGACGAGTCCCAAATAGGAAGGGACGCGCATCCTGGATTCCATTGTTAGCCACTAAGCAGGTTGCACCATCCTCAGCTCTTAATGTGTTCTAATTAACGGCCTCGAGTATGTAACGTTTCAGTTTTCCGGTCTTCGTTAGTTGTACAACTAACTTTGTTATGTGTTGATGACTAACTCTTTGCCTTTTCATTGATTCCCAGCATGCTATAACTTTTACTTGACGTCATTTATAATCCAACTTTATTTATCCACCAACCAGTCACAGAATAAAAAAACATGTTGACATAATCTTTCTGTCTCTTGATCAAGTCAAGGAGACTAAAGTGTAACCAAGATGATTTAAAGTGGAAGGACTAGATATTCTGTTTCCAGGAATGGTTATGGATGACGGCCAGGAGTTGCTAGATAATTTAAGCAGCATAATGCCTAGGGGTTTTAGAAACATACGTACTCTTCTTATACTCTTCCTGAACGTTGATCATAGACGTTTATTAAAAACCTTATATACCTTCTTGAACTGACTACAGATGGATATGTTGTTTGAGTGCATCCTCAAAGATTATGAAATCCACAATTACTTGACTTTTTAGTGAAGCGTCGAAACAGCAAACTAGAGGAAAACAGAAAAGTGTCTGATTAGAGTGAGGATACACAGTGCAGATCCATGTCTATAGTCACCCACTGAAAAAAAGTATTTTTACTCGCCTTCCACGAAAGCCTTTTATGTAACCTTTAAGTATCATTTCAGGCAACAGACTGTGATGTCTTGTACCAGTATCTCAGTATGAATGGAGTGCTGACAAAGTATATTATTATCTTAATGGCTCGATTCCTAAACTTGCATAATGGTGCATTGGCATGTGGATGATAATCATGTTAATTGGTGACAACCAATGTTATTCTTCAAGAGGGTGTATCAACTATCACTACTCCCATTCAACTTAGTAGTAAGTATACGGATGTAGAAAAATTCTTACCTTCAACTTCCGTCGGAGTAATCCATTTTTAGATCTTAAACAGGAAGAGCATTCAATATACAAAATTCTTCCGCATGGGGTCGCTTACATGACATAAGGTATTTTGAATATCTTGAAGTAAAATTCAGGTATGTTTGGCATCGGCTTCGTATCCATTCAATGCATGACTGTGCTGCAGGAATCTACCACACAATTTAGTTTTAAGGAAACAGAAGAATGCTGTTGATTTCACCAGTCAATTTTCATATTTTAGGGATTATAGAAACCACGACGGTCTTTGTCTTGACTAAATGTGAAAATGTTTGTGCATTAGGCCTCCAATCTCATCGATTTTCTGCATAAACCAATAATTAAGTAAATACTTGCGAAACTGAAACCCATGTGAAATGTACTACTCACTAACGACAAGTAGCATAAAAATCATACCAACTCAAATCACTGCCATTTCTTAAATGCTTTACTTTCCCATTCGTAACAGCTGATGTATACAACTGTCAGCAGTATAGTTAATTTAAGTCTTGCATATTGGTCCATTTCTACCTACTTTCTAAATGTGATGCATCTGAGTGATGGGTTCACTTTTATTTAGATATAGTGTTTTCCCCTGTTTACTCTGTCGAAGAAAATAACCGAACATTTTCCATTTTTGTGCCAGTGTTTAATATTACCATGTGTTTTTGCTGTTATCTGTCTAGTGGTGGCTAAAAAGGAATCTCATGGTGCACTTAAGTTGTCACTAGAGAAAATCTTATTCTGCCTGTAAGAGAAATCAGGTAAAGAAGACCGATGGTCGTAAACGAGTGATGTTCATGGAGTCCTTCACTTCGTGATGGTAAAATAGTTGACAAAGTTGTCAGCTTTCAGTAGCATCACTTCAAAGAAACAATGATAAATTGAGCAATTAACAGAGGTTGGTGTTATGCTGTAGCACCTAGTGCTGATCAAAATCTAACACCGGGATCGTGAAACATGGAAATTAAGCTATGAAAAACGGGAAATGGTGTCTCTTTCTATTTTTCTCATTGTCTATGATAAACAGTGATAAGTTGCAGAAGAAAAACTACTTGAAATTACTGCTTGGTAAATGATTTGTACAGGAAATTTGGCACCAAAGTGGATTAGCTTCTGTTCAAATATATAAAATTTGTAACATCTCTCATCATTATGCTACATTGCACTAGTTCTGCCGGATACTAAGGTTAGATGTTAGAGTTATTGATGAGTCTATCCAAAGGAAAAAAGTTTTTTAACTGCTTTTAAAAGTCCAGTACCAGAAACTGAGGACTTAATTGTGCTGCAAATTTGAACCTGCTGTTCATAATTGCATACCGATAACAAACACTGTGATATAATTGGATAGGGATTTATTAGCACCATAGACTCTAAAGTTCATGTGACTACGAAACATAAAGCTTCAATTCTTACAGAAATTCTGTTAGTAGTCAGTGATAGTCAAGCCATTCCGCTTCAGTCAACTTTCAAATCACTGAGATACTTATGCAATGAAGTGTTTGTCCTGTGGTTACTATGATCCTTCGGTCTTACAATTGATAAAAGTCGCGCGTAAACTCAAATGACAACCAAGTTTATCGCAGAAAAGGAAATTAACCAACTGTTAGAGAAAAACTGTTGTTTCTATATAGCAATGAGGTTGTTGGTGTCACTTTCAACTTCAGTCCACTCTGTACACTGAAACAATAGATGCTCTTTTTGCAAACTGACTAATTTGTTTAAAATTGTCACCCAAAGACTTTTTTATTTATCCAAATGAAATTTTTTATACAGGAAATCCCACCGTATACTGGTTATGGTACAATTGAAGATAGCCTATCCTCAACGAAATCATTCATACTGAAGCCACCAAAAGTTGATTTTGCTAAACAAGTGGATTATGCCCAGAAAGTTTTAAGATATGAAGCTCACTTAGTAAGTCAGTGTTTTCATGCAGTTTTGTTGATATTTTTAACACACATTATATTCTTTTCACAGATTTTACTTTGAAATATTGCCTTTTTGCTACTACTTTTTCATGCTTGTTCATGAAGTTAGGCTGAGTAGAAGTAAGGTCAAACTGAAGTCATATTGTCGGGACCGAGAACCAAATATCATCTTCAGTTCGGAGATCTGTAAGAAATTCATTCGAAACAGACAACTTTGCTACAGGCACACATTCTTTTTTTATTTGTAGAGGTAAAGTGTAACGAATTGAAGCGATACACTTTTTTGATGGATTCCAAGCTAGATAACTATCTCTTCAATTGGCTTCTGTAACCGTTCCCGTCGCTAGATCTACAGTTAATTGTTTGTACATGATCATTTAATGTATTCTCTTCGTCTTTTTGGATTATTTCAAACAATACAATATTAAATTCAGGGTATGGCGTTTTCTGACTATTGAATTCCACTGTTCACCACAACAACTGGTAGCTAGATCTTCGTCAGTTCTGCAGAGATACCGCTGCATGTCATGGGTCCCCAATTCAATTTTTTCATGTCTTATCTTTCTTATTGCTTCATTATTCATAATCTTCTTAAAGGTAAAATCACAAAGCTGAAACTGGCTATGAAGGTAAAAGTAGAACCTGGGCATGGTAGTAGCACATATTTCCACGTTAGTATTCAATGTATCAACTAACATACAGACTGACTGTCTTTAGATGGTTAGGTCATCATCAGCATTGAAATGAATTATCAAAATAAAACTGACCAGTTCAATAATGCATTAATGTAATGGACGCTACTTATAAGAATGGATCTCAGTAGTATGTGGCACAATGTCGGAAAAAACAAGAAATGATTTTGACTGACTGGTGGAGTTTCAGAATAGGGGAGTCATCTGTTAACAGAATACTGAGTAGAAATAGCGAAGAGAAGAACACTACACAGTGGGATTGTTTGTTGTTTTGACCTTATTGTAAGTTTTAACGTTATCATTACTGCATGTAGTTTTTCAATCTACAATCTGTGCTACTACCTTGGTCTTACCTTCATTGTTACTTTACTCATTAACAAGCTTTCATTTCTTTTCAAAGATTACATTTTAGATAATAATGTGATTGTATTTGTTTGCATGGAAATAAATAAGATCAAAGTTGGATCATCAATGATTTTCTGTTTAATTTGACTACAAAGTATTCTCTTTATGGAACTTCACTAAATTGAATTTTTTTTAGGTTATTTCATGCCTTAAGTATTCGCTAACATGTGTGACAGAAAAAATATAAAGGTTAAGAGAAATGAAAACTGCTAATGTATACTAAAAAATGCGGGTTACAGGGTACTAAATTCCATTTTATACAGGAATAGTTATTTTATCGATTACTATACCCTCATAGTATCAGTATACGCTATAAGTAAGTAATTCTAAATAATCAATATAATGTTAAGGTATTTAGACCAATTGCGGACAATAAACGATCTCAAGTTGGTATTTATTATGAACTAACATCAGTTGGAGGAACATTGAAAACCTGAGGGCACTGGACAGGTGTTTCGTTCTAGTATATGACTAGTCCTGAGCAGTGCGCATCCATGACCTTGCCCTACTAGGGATCGGACCAAGGACATTCAGCTTTCATGGTCAGCACGTTACCAATAAGCCACTGGGTCGGAATCCAGTGGCCCTTATTTCCTACTTCTGTCAGTTCATGATATAGCATGACCTCCATCAGATGCCGTTGTTGAGTATCTGTCCTCGTGTTTGATCCTATTGGTCCCACTGGTCATGAGTTCTCATTTGAACTTCAGGAATCACCTCTAGAAGCTAGTCATCAGTGAGCACTGAAGAGTCCCATACCAGGATGAAACAGCTATTCAGTGCTCCCAGGTTTCCAGTGTTTCTTCAACCAATGTCAATCCATGATTAATACCAACTTGAAATCAATAAATCTCAACAAACCCCATAAAATGAATAAACAATCTGTTGACACTTGTATAAGTCCGTGATGATTTGTAAAATTACATCAAAAGCTAGGTAGGGTTCACTGAAATGAAAGAAATTCATATGATTTTGCTTGCACGTCTGTCTCTGCATTATCACTGACATCCTAAAAACTGTAGAGTATTTTCAGTATGTTTTTTGGTTGTGTACTACACGTTAAACAGGTGGTGGATGCATGCTAACCCATTTTAGCCACTTTATTTTAGACACATGGATAGTTTTATTAAACCTTATACACTTATACACTCAGAATGGCATCCCAGTGCGTACTTGGTCAGTGAATTTTTCAGCTTTCATACCATATAGCTGGTTACTTTATAAGTCACTTAAATTTTGAATCATTCTCATCTGGTTTGTGAATCCTGTCGGCCAATCTCAGTGTTCAGAAACTGATCATACTGTTAAACGATTAAGCCGGTCTTTCACGTCACACTATCAAGTGTTTTCATCTTTCGATTAGTTTTCCTTAGAATTTGTTTGTTAGTGTATGTATCCTTTAGGTTAATACAGATTCTCAGAGCCTCTTAAAATACAGTGATATGTTGACACATACCTAAGTATCCCTTGAGATACAAAAAAGACCAGTGAATTTACCTGTGTCTTAATACCATGGTAAAATTACATGATAAGTGAAGTAAACCTTTCATCATAGCTATGAGTGCCATATCTAACTCCACCAGCCAAAGATATTCATCCAGCTTCACTGTTGAATTGACGAGTTCTCTTAACTCTAACAGATGTCAAGGTATAATGAACTGAAGCCTTATAGATGTAATCAAACATTACCGATTCGAAAGTAAATGGACGTTTCCACCTGAACTTGGATAACGCAAAGGGCTTACTGAACACCTGCTTTATTCTAAAATTGATGATCACAATCTAAGACCGTTGTAATGTATACGATTACAGAAATAAGTAATATCAGTTCAGATTTCAGAGTAGATGGCAATCTTCCGAATAATTAAATAACTACTATTAGTGCTTAGTTGCAACCAATTCCATTTTATAAACTAGGAACTTCCATTAAATCTTTAGGTGGCTTTTATCAAGATCTCTTAATGCTTCCGAAATTCTGGCGAAAATAGTAAGGTGATGAAAGGATAATCTAACTTCTTCTCAAACATTTTAGCAATATGAATTCGCACTCCTTATTGACACTGGGATGAGTAGTAGGAAATTCCCACAAGAAGAACACAATCTTTGAACTTTCTGTATTTAACCCAACATGATAAGATAGAGCTTACATTCCTGTATGAGATGAGTGATTCTCATTACAAGGTCTCTAGTTGACCTTCATAATGATGACTTCTGAATAAAGTATGACCTAATTAACTCATACTGATACACTTTCAGGCACATTTTACCATATAATAATAATAATAATGATAACAGTAGTACACTGGACATAATAACTTGGCCATGAGGTATATAAAAACTAACGATAGCAAGGGAGAGAAGAAAGAAGACGTCAGTGAAAAAACTTTTTCTTTTATTTCATTCGTAAAAGTTGTACATTAGGATTCAAATATAACTAGATTTCATCATGTTTCGGAAATTTTAATTACTTATAGTCTCCGATTAGTAAAATGATTTAAGAACAGTAGTAAAGCATGAAGAAAACACTTGACAGTAAGAGTAAGTAATTAAAATAAACCAGAATCCTGAAATCACGAATACATAATCAAATCAACAAAAGGTTGTCAATGTGGAACATTTACATAAACATGAAATGAAGAAAGAAAAAGCAGAAATCGGTATTCAGGTTCTAGAGTTAGAGTGTTAAAAAGTGAACAGTGAATGGAAAAGAAGAGTTTTCTTTGAATATATGTTTCTACTACTTGCCTGCCTAGTTGTTCAACTGGCTGACTGACTGCCTGAAAAGTTTTGTTGTCTTTTGTGGACTAAACTTATGTGCCAACTGTCAACCAAATGTCGCAAGATGGACCTGTTGATTAATCGATATAAGATACCACAACGTCTTATGCTCTTTTTTAGGCTGTATCGTGTTCAGAAGAAAAAATGCTGAATTAGCTAATATTTTGTGCTTTTGGATGAGCAGTATGTTTTACGAAACATTTCTGGCTAGGTCATGCATAACGTATGCTACTGAACTATATGAATAGTCAGAAAGTATTGTTAATGATCTGACGATTTCACCAGTGATATCAAAGTAATGTAGGAAAATTTGTGCCTATTAATCAAGTCTGCGTAACAAAATGATATGATGGCTATCTCGGTTTTAATTGTACTAATAACAAGTAGAAGTGTAGACTTACAACGACCATCAGCCATTGCTCAAATTCATGTCTTAACGGGTTAGTCACTCATGGATCCTCAAATTGAAAATAAAAGGCCCATTTACATTTCGATTGGATTCACTGGATGATAGGAATTAACGGTTGTAATTCATGTTGACATATCTGGGTGGCAGTAACAATTTATGCAGTCCTCATTATCTTCGAAATTATGAAAAGTGACCGTTTGTTTCTTTCTCTCTCTTGTGATATTGCACTTTTGTATACGTCATGGTTATTCTTTTTCTCCTTACTTCCTCTATGCATGCTGCTGTGACAACATGAATTGATTTACTTTTGCTTTAAGTTCTACATTGATTTGTTTATCATTTGATTCTCTGGGACAGTCGTAGTTTGGCGGGCTAGTATTGATACTGGGTTATGATTGAAGGTATGATGAAAATTCGGACCGCCGTCACATTCGAACGAGTGACCACCCGGTTTTCCTGTTCGATGCTCTCCCAACTGAACTAAGAGATCTGACTGCTGACCAGATTTTTATTTCATTCGAAAATTTCATCTCAACTTCAATCATCACCCAGTATTAATTTGCTTGCCGGTTATCACTTCATGTAGGACATACTTATGAGATCAATACTTGAGAAAGTCAATTAATGCAGATAAATTGGCGTTAGTGACTACAGTAACTGCAAGAATTATGGTAAAAACGATAATTTCTGGTAGGTGACGTGGACTAGGGTTATAAGTGAGCAAATGAGATAAGATGGATAACTGAGTGTCAAACAGATTATTTCACATAATACGTATAAACCACCTGCTAAGCGCAGCGCAACTTAGCCGCCCTAATAGTATACTGAACTAATACATTTCATTCAAAATGAAGATACAGCAGTGGCTTTATGAAGCTCATTTTGATAACGACCAAGACGACCAATCAGGTTTCTTCATTTTTACAAGGAAACTACCTTTCTAGCCAAAACAAAGAAGGCTGATTGGTTATTTCAGTGGTCGCTAGGGTAACCTTTAGAGTAAGCCGTACTTAGAAGACAGATTTGGTTGGAGACATTTAACTTGGAACAGAAGGTGCATTTCGATCATAGTGTTAGGTTGATGTGCATATTCGCGAAAAAGAACTTTGTTTGTTCATGTAACCTTGAAGGAATTTATGTTCACTGAAGGACTGTTCATAAATTCTGTGTGGTGGTTAATCAATTGCAATAGAAATCCAAGCAATCTTCAGTGTACTTCCCATACGACTGATATCCTTCCTAATAGATAACCAGTTGCGTGTTAATGACTCATGTGAATGTCAAAATGCCCCTTTAAATTACTATGATAAAAAGCAACAGAGAGATTGCAGTGAAGATAGTTATCGTTTCCATGGCTCATTTTCATAATTGTACATTCATTAATGCGTAAGTAAATTTATAGAAAGTTTCCGGTCAAATCTCAAACTTAATCGATAGGTGTATAAATAATTGAAATACAAAATAAAATATAAGCAGAAGTACAGAGTACCTGATTGAAGGCATGGTCAAGAGAGTGTTTGTACATGTTTCTTTAGAATACATAAGTGAGCTGTGGCTTCCCTTAACTTCGGCTGGACACGTATGTCTAATCTTTAGTCCTTTTTTGAACAGTTTAGTCAAGCATTGTAGAGAACTTTGAACAAGGTTTCCAGATGAGCCAGATGTCTAGAGTTTATGAGATGTTCAATGATGGGTCTGAAGATGGTTTCATGCTCATACTTTAGCAACTAAGCCGAATAATGTTCGCAAACGCGTTTTTCAAGCGAGCGCATAATATGACGGTTGTTCTTAGCTCCAAGAGGGCAAGTTAACTTGTAAATGCACGGTGATGAGGACCAATGTATCAGATTGTGTTATGTAATAATCAATCTACAGCTGTGAAAATGAGCCATGGAAACGATAACTATCTTCACTGCAATCTCTCTGTTGCTTTTTATCATAGTAATTTAAAGGGGGCATTTTGACATTCACATGAGTCATTAACATGCAACTGGTTATCTATTAGGAAGGATATCAGTCGTATGGGAAGTACACTGAAGATTGCTTGGATTTCTTCAGTAAACATAAATCCCTGCAAATTATGTGGAACTAATCTATTTGTAATTTGGGGACCATTCATACTGTCTTCTAATAGTCGAGAGAAAATAGCTACCGACTATTCTCCATATGCATTCAACTTCAGTTTAGCTAACTAAAAATTGTGTCTAGCTCTAAGATTCTTCTGGATTCAACTTCAACATATATCAATTAGGCGCCTGAACTAAAACGTTTAAGACTATCTCTGAAATGAAGGGATCTAGAATCTTCGATAATTCCTAGTTCAAGTTTTGTTTATTTCAACAGAAATAATGTTTTTTTTCAACTAAAAATTTATAGTTTTAATCTTCGACACATTGACTATTGAAAGTGTTTCATATGAATGAGTATAATCATCACGGTCTTTTGAATTTTCACCTTTAAGGTTATAATGCACCAACAGTTACTAGCTCACCATAACTATCATTCTGCTTTTTGACAAGTAATGCAAATATTGAACGCTTTTTGACGATACCTGAATAACTTTTTCTTTCTTTCATTTCATTATACGGTTATTATATCAATTGATACAGGGCATTTTTCCCTACATACTGTGCACTAAATTTGTATTTTAACATACTTCTAACACTTGACTACTTCAAGACAAAATGATTCTTATTTGTTTGAATATACAGTTGTCGTGGATGTTATCAGTTCACCTGTAGACAGATTCCTTATGGTTTAAATGAGAAATCAAGTTAGATGTGAGGAAAGATGCCCACAGGGGAAATTGGATTCCGTTCACTGTAAAACACAAATATATTTGTCGTTTCAAATGGATTTAGATATGACTGTCAAAGCTTACTTCAATTTAATAATAATGTAATGTTTATTTGTCGGGATTTAAAATCAATAAACCTAGAGAAAACTAAGTCATTACTGATTTGAAAACAGCTAATTCATATACTTTTTACCTTGTTAATTTAAACTTTGTGTAATTTAACTTTTTATTCGTCTAGTAAAAGACAATGTGACTTTGGGAAATATGGTTTCTTTTCCTTTCATTGAGAAAAATCAATAAGTCTAGAAGTAAAAATATCCCTATTCAATAATTACAAGCTGGAACATGTTTCATTCTACTATTGACCTCCTTATTAGTGTACAACAACTATCCACTCCATTTTCTTTGGAATCAATAGTCAGCTTAAAGATATCACTTCCACTCGATAGTACACTGAAAAGCGAAATCGTTCTCACTTAATAAATATTTCTTAGTGATAATGACAGCTCATTGTCTCAGAAAGCTGTAGGTATTACTCATTTTTGAGTGAGATCATTAATTGAAAAGTGTTAAAATAAGACATACAGTTGTAATGAATAAAAAAGGTGTTTATAGTTAACATTTTTATGAGTTTGACTTGGTTTTGTGTGGGCTGTAGGTAATAGTGAAATTTGGAACAAAATGGTGGTAAACCAAACAAATGGTTGGAGAGATCAGGTGTAGCACGCCTAAAAAAAGTGTAGACATTGACTGATTGTCTTCGTTAAAATTTTGAATATTTTCTAACGTTGAATTTATTCATTCCTGTGTCATTCAAGTTCTCCATGTTATTTTTAATTGCTTCCTACTTAGCTTGGTTTTCTGTTATATCAAAATGAACTGAATGAAAAGTTTTACTTTGTTGTACGGATCTGCTTATAAAGAGTTTATTTTATGACATTTGGCCCTTAATTTTACTCAGTCAACGTTTTCACATTGATTGGTCTCTGAAGACTTTCAAGATGTCTAGCTCTTAGTGCTGATAAAATTCTGTTGATCATTTTGTAGCACGGTCACCGAACTAAAAGATTCATCATTGTGGTATACTTTTGACATCTTGAACCATCGAAAAATCAATATTTTCAGACAGATAACAATTTTCAGGTAAAAACCGTTGTGACAGCTAAATGTTTTGATCAAATAAAATATCCCCGACAGTGAATCGTATAGTATCAGTTTATTCTCATAAATCAAAGATAAGGTAATTCAGTCTCACTTCAGACAGGCATTAATGTGAATAACCTCACAATAGGCCATTCGCCTTCAAAATATACACCAGATAAGATTGACTTTGTAAACTTATTTAGAAGGTAAGATTGAATAAATGTTTCTGTGACTGTTAAAGGATCATTGCTATTTCACTGGAATAGTACTTTTAAAAGTCAGGATCTAAATGGACGTCCTGAATGTTAAGATGCTACAAACGTCTGCCGTTGAACTCAGAAAATATCGACCTGAAACTAAAGTTTTTCATAGTTATGTTGCATTACAATGCGAATAATGAAGTGAATATTTCGATTTCTTTTCTTTTTACGGTTGTAGGACAGCGTTCGACCAGAAGATGCATCCAGACGATTTATTATATCTTATCGTTTAGCTGATGATATGATATCAGTTTTTGAAACTCCAATGAGAAATTCAGGCTTCACTGGTGGAACATTTCTTAAAAGAGCAAGGTATGATTGAATTGATAAGGCCTACGATATAATTTTGTATCTTTAAATAATTATAATGACTACGACAACTTCCAAAAGATATCGATCAAGAAAACAAACTGAGTGGAAATAAAACAATGGAAATTTATTTTATTCCAGTTTAAAAATTTTAGCTGTGATGTCGCTTTCAACTTTTATAGGTGGAAGAATTACAAGGCTGGGTAAAGGTGTACTTTAGAATATAACTGATGACAGCTTAGTTTATAATAATCCTCATTCAAGGTAACTTCCTAGTACCCCAGCTGATTCGCTATTCTAGCTGTCGACCGCTGTAAATTAAGATGAGAACTAGTGAATTTACTCGCCGCTAAGAAGATGGACAACAATAGACATGATACTTACAAAAGCCATCATAATGTTATTAAAAGTAGTCAGTGAGGTGATTTAAAGTAGTCTAATTATCAGTAAATCCCTTTGACACGCTAATAATGTAACTTAAACAAGTAGACAAAGAGAATACAAATGGGATCGTTGACATCACGATTGGTCCTAGAAGTAGGCAAAGATTGGAAACTGTGGTATTCCCGCTGATCTCACAGCGAAAACACACTGTAGTACATCAACCCTGCGGAGAAAAGAAAACTATTTAATGACTGTTTTCCATTCAATTTCATCAGAGGATGTTTACATAATTTGTCGTCAACCAAGAAGCCAATTTCGAAAACCAATAAGCGGATTGTTTTACCGTGCATTAAGAATGTCTCCAAGATCACGACTAGATTATTGAAGCCTCTTGGATTCGTTGTGTCTCACAGGCCCACAAAATCTCTCCAGTCTCTGTTACAGCAGTAAAGGAAGTCAAAACAAACATTACCCACAAAAAACTACAGAAACTGAGAAAAACACTACATCGAACAGAGTGATCGCCCTCCTCGCATCCGTCTACATAAACATCAACTAGCAGTGAAGCGTCATGACATAGCTTCGCTCATATAGATGCATACAGACAACTATGAACATGAATTTGACTGAGAAAATGTGGAAATGCCAAGAATGCCAGAGAATTTTTAGAAGCTTGACATTTAGATCAGTCACCAATCAGTATATATATTGACACTGACCCAATCTATCAACTAATAAGAAACAAAAAGTGGGTAAGATTCTAGTTCACCAGGACAGCCAATTAAAAATAAATATGGAGACAATGACATGACCTTGGAAGAAACAAGCCTGTCCTGAAGGCCATCAAGACAGGCTACTAAGCCACTTGTGAAGAGAAAACCCGGTAATTCACTTCTTCCTGAAATCTTTGCTAATGGTGCTGTGTAGAATGACATTGAAGACTTTATGACTAAACCATCCATCTCAGAGAATACCATGCCATCAAAATTATCCCGTGAGCTACAAATATTTTCTATCATCTTGAATAAATCTGATTATAGTTAAATGATTGATACACAGTTCGAATTCAGCAGTGTGACACGTTGCAATATCGAGTACTAAGTTACTCAATAAACTAAGCTAAAAACACATTAATCTGGTTCGCTCTACTAAATGATTATAGTTGTGATGATACGTTTTGAGTACATACAGGCTTCATTAAATCGGCCATATGAACAAGCCACTCATGGAGTGATTTAGTGGTACCAGGTTGAGAATTTCGTAGGAAGAGTGGTATTCCTGAATTGTAATATTTCTATCGTTAAAATAATGTCAGCGTGAGTAAACAGCAGATTTTCTGAGAACTAATCTTTTTCCAAGTCCTTTCCATATGCGTAACTTATGCACCTTTTGCTCTAAATAGTGTACGATTACTGATTTATCTTCTAAGTACCTGAAGAATGATGATTACTCTAGGTAGAAATACAAAAACGTTTCCCCGGTAATGTGCTGGGAGGGGGGGAGGTAATATGAATGATTCTTCGGAAATCGCTTGCATTTCAAAAGCGCAAAAAGTAGTACCTATCGGGTTTCCCATTACAAGCACTGTTAAACTTACTTAGACTTGGTAGAATTCAGGATTGAAATTTCACCTAATGAATTTAGTAAGTTGAGCACCGGGTAAACAGTTTATAAAAGAGATATATATTGGTGAAGTCCAAGTGAAACAGAAAAATAAACTTCTGACCTTCGGCAACCTCGTAGAAGCTGCTTTTCAGTGAATAAAATCTTTACAAGTTATGCTATGATTAAATAGTAAGTGAGGACAGATAAGATCACGTTGTTCATACATGATAACAAGTTAAAAGTAAGTGTTATTGTTATTAGTTCATGAGTTCAAGGTTATGTGAATGTGTAAGAAAAGAAAGATGAATTTCTTATCCATTTGCCACTTATGCATGCGATAACTTGTACAGGCTTTATTCTTTCAAGAAGCAGCTTTCATGAGGTCACTAGGATTTCACAAATATATCTAATTGATTTACTTACTCAAATTATATGTTACGCTAATTCACCTAGTGAGTTCAGTCCATGTGACACATTATGCCGGATGTCGTTCATGATGAATGTCATATAAAATATTTTATATTCATCCGTATGATATGGATATGATATGATAGATAACGAGAGAATTTCTTCCCTTACGGCTGGTTTATCTTATCTGGTAATAACGTATACCAAGCCAAAAAATCATCTGAACGACTAGTAGATCTTCGTCGAATAACATGTTTATGTCGTTTTTGCGCGTTCCATTATAAAAATTGATCTTATGGTTATGGGATAGGAAATAGTTGACCATAGAGTTGCTAAACTTAGCAGTTACCGTGGAACCCACTAGGTCTATAATTAAAAGTGTCTCATAAGCTATTTTCGACGTGTGCTTACACTTAGACCCGGTCTGATATGCGACAAACTGACTTGAAGAGGATATGTAACGACATCAAGAAATTAAACTTTATTCGCTGTAATGCTTATATATTTCATAATCTACATATGATCGTTTTTTTCTTTTTCTTCGTCTTTCTGTCTTGAACGAAACAGAGTTGCTAAACCTGGAAGTACATTGGATAACCCAGTTTATTATGGTCCTGCAGACTTTTCACTAGGCTCAAAAATCGATATATTCGGTTCACGTTTCATTATAACCGATGCTGATGAATATGTTGTTAAGTTTCTTGAAGCAAATCGTGATCAGTTCCCTGAGGAATTAATCACTTGTCTACGTACACGTTTAACAGAAAAAGAAAATCAGGAGAAAGCAAAAGAACACTTAAAATACAAAGTGGGCAAAGGATGCCATGTTGAATTTAGACGACAGTAAGCAGATTACTACCATGTTTTGTTGATTTTTTTCTGAAGTACCTCTCTAACTATATAATAAACTGTTTCAATGATCTGTAAGTAATTTCCTAAAATGTATTTTCAAATTTGGTGATTTCCGCAGGTTAATCTTTTCTTGATAACTAGGTCGTGATTTGTCTTTACTTGAAGAAAAGTGATCCGATTAATTTATCTCCTTTTGTGAACATTTCGTTTATCAGAACATATTACGAGAAATCATGATTATCGGTTTACTTTACTATGGGTTGACTGGTTAAAGATGCTGATCCATTTTTTATGTGTACACCTATGTCACTCAGCAGCATATCTTCAGTAAAATACCACCAAGAATCTGACCGACTTAACATAAATAGCAATTCTGATTTGATGCTCAAATTCATTCATGATAGTGAAGGATCTCGCACTAAAAACGTAGAAATTAAGTTGAGGTTAAGTCATGAGAACATATTATCTTATTCACATCACCTTAGGGTCTAATACAAGGTTTGTTGAGGTGTCTAGCAAAAATAGAGCATAAAATGGGCGGTCACTTTTGAAAGTTATTCACCAGTTCAGTGGTTGACACCAATCTTTCCTGCCACCGAACAGATTTCTTACCTTTACGAGTGATGTTTGGTTCTCCAAGCCAGATAGCTTGCATTATCGTATCAGTGAACTCAAAGAATGTAACACCACTAAAAGTTTTTCGAACCTCTGACTGTTACATCACAATAGTTGTTATCAATAACTAGGCGCCAGAGATTACAGGTTATAGTCTGTCACAAAAATACCATAGACTTTTAAAGTGTACCGCTGAATGAAAACAGCAGTCAAAAACGCAATGATGTACGAATTCCTTACGAAGCAGTTGAGTTCCTTCAAATCTCTCGAGCAATTATTTCTCACTAATGAGACATAACTCACTAAAGACTTGCCTTGACAAGTTAATCTCACAGGCAATGTGACAAAAGGTTGCCTGTGTGTGTTAAATTCAAATACGACAATTTTCAGCTTTATGCTAGACAGACAAAAAGATAGATAAGTATTTCAGTCTGGCTGATGTGACTAGTACGAAACTACAAATTATTAACATGTCCTGTTTGGTAATGAGGCACATCACTAACTTATGTGAGCGGAAGCCAAAAAAAATACAGAAGAATGCAATGTGTAAGTGAATGAAATATTAATGTGCTAAAAGTCTTTCTGGAATAAAAAAGTGCAGGCTGCATTGAGAATCTGCCTTAATTTTAACTCATCCAACTTCTTCAGTCTATAGTTTAGTCGATGCTAGGAAAATTTGCAAGAAAAGGTGTCTTCGTTAGTGTAGAATCTTTGTTAAACTTCGAGTAAGTTTGAAACTCGTGAGTGGTTACTTTTTCGATGAGGTTGACTGAAAACAAACGAATGGCTAAATTAAAGTTTATTTTCTTGCAGTATGTTTGATTAGATTGAGTCATAAAATCATCCTGAAAGAGGCTTCACCTGTAGTTTAACATAATTGAGCAGCCCACAAAAGCATATTTATACACTGCTGTTGGCAATAAAAAGTAACATGAAAAGAATGGAATAAGAGTTGTTTAACAGAAGATGAAACTATTCAGTATGCTTATACGTAAAGGGAAAATTAAAGCTTTAGGCCTGGAAATTCTTCCATAAGCAACTGATTACTTAATATATTCATTTCTCAATTACGCCAAATCCTGTCACTTTGAGAGCGTAGATCGAAGGAAATGCAATCGATACAATCAGCACTGTGTATCACCTTAGCCAGATAAATACTATGGTATAAAAACTTTGGGGTACTTTTTTTTAAATAATGAGGAATTTTAATGTGATGTTATGTTAATCTTTCATGGAATGATGAATTTGCAAACTTCACTGTTCATATTGACACTTCTCACAGCTGAATAGTGTTTCAACTACCCAACTGTGTTGTCAACAAGGTTTCCTCTAGAAACCACTCAACCAAGATCATAAGATGTGATCTCTGACATAAACGTGTCATCAACTAGCGGAAAATACTACTACTTAACAAACTGAGTGGTAAGAAACCAATCAAGCTGTTTAGATCCTTGTGAACTGACTAGGGAACTACTAAATATTAGTCTGAGTGGTTTCTCACTACTCAGGTTGTTGAGTAGTAGTATCACATACAAAACTTCTGTCTTGTCAAACTATTCTCAGTTTTTATCCATGCTGTTGTCATATATTTTTAGTGGATAACCACCAAAGTTTAAAATAATTTAAATATGGTGAACTGAATTCAGAAATACTAGTGTATTCAAGACCTTTTTGCTTTCATTACGAGGAAGTCAGTTCTTTCAACGAATAAATTTCTCTTCTAGACTTTTTAGTTTTTAATAACTCCCAAACCAATTTTCTCAATGAATAAAAGCAAGAAGCGACAACTTCTCATACAACTCAATAAACACAAAAATTTCTCAGTTGTTGATAGATCTATTTTCCTTGGTGTAAGAAGATGAAAAATAGATTTCACACTGGAACTGTAGGTTTACCTTTAAATATTGACAACCATTCAGAACAAATAGATAGTGGCTATTGTCACGTTAGCAGTGAATGCTGTTCATGCTTCACTTTCATTACTCTTCAGTACTCAAAATAACCTGGCCATAAAAGTAACTGTGACCTAACCCAATTACTAACCTAATCCTTAATTGATATAGTGAATGACTGCGTAAATAGATGTGACTCAAAAACCACACAAACGATTTCTGAAACAACCAATTAAACTTCATCATTTTGGTTGGAAACATATTTTTTTCTAGAAAATGAAGAAACTTAATTAATCATTTCAGTGGTTATTAGGGTGCCTTTTAAAATTGCCCAAGTAGTACATATGATGCAGTGGGGGAAAGTGGAATTTCTTCCAAAAATGGCACAGTATTGCAGACCGTGTGACAATATTGGTCACAGTACAAAAAAGAGTTATTTTTTATGAAATTTATTCACGTTAATTTTTTGGATTTCATCTTCAATGTACATTAAACTAATGGTCACATTATGTATCACCTGTTTCTCAATTGAAATAATACCCAGTTAAGATCTTAGTAGCTAATCTGAGTGACTCTAAAAGTCATCCTGGTAACCACTGAAATGACCAATTAAGTTATCAAGGCTGCAAAAGTAGTCTTTTGACAAAATAAAAATCTAACTGACCACTCACTGTTGACAATAGTTGTCTGTGCATTTTTGCACGGTTTGCCCGAATTCATTACAGCACACTGATAATCCAGGCTATCTGAACTCTGCACTATGTGTCAATGCAAGAATACAGTTGGAATTCTTGTTTTGTCTGTATGATTGTGGATTACAAGATCTAGTTTGTAATAGGTGTATAAATTAATGAGTTATTCTGAAAGTCACCATAATAACAAATGAAGCAGCCAAACAGATTATTTTATTTCATGAAAATCCACTTTTCCTACCTATAATAAAGAGATCTAATTGGCCGTTTCATAAGTTAATAGGATGGCTTTTAAAGTTACTCAAATTGATTTGTAATTCACTTCTGATGAGGTCGAACAATTCGATCCAACAAAACAACGGAGAATAACAAGTATGTCAATAAATAGTAATGACTACTACCCGTTGTACAAGAAGTGGCTATCGTTCCTCCGTGGCATAGTGGATAACGCCTTGGAGTTTGAAGTAGTGAGTACGAGGTTCGAATCGCGGCGGGAACAGCACTGGGGTGCAGGTACATACAGCTGACGAGCCCCAAATAGGACGAAACGCGAGTCCTGGGTTCGTCTGCTGGCCACAACCAACCAACTTATTATAAATATTCTTATTGGATCGTAAAAGAAGAAAGACTTTAAAGGACAAATTTTTTTCAGCGTTACTATCCTCAGAAGCAGTACAATCGCATTCGAAAATAATCAGTGTGCAAGATTTATTGGTAGAATTTGTTAATAATATTTATCAATGAATAATTCTCAGTAAGTTGTGGTCATAAAAATAGTATAACAATCAAAGTTACGTTAGAAACAAGAAAATATTTTTGAGATGAATGGCGATTTTAATTTAGAGGTAGTATTCATCAGTTGGCGAATCACTGAAAACCTGTAAGCACTGGACGACTGTTTCGCCCTAGTATGGGACTCCAGAGCAGAACGCACCCACTACCTGGCTAGGCATCAAACTCAGGACCTTAAGGTTTCACAGCGAACGCGTTAACCATTCATCAACTAGGTCGAAGGTCAATGCTGAGGGGTAATACACCGGGACGAAACAGCTGTCCAGTGCTCCCAGATTTTCAGTGGTTCTCCAAATGATGTCAGTTTGTGACCAATACTAAGAAAATATTTAGCAAAGGGAATAAGTAAGCTGAAATTGGGTATTGAAGGATTCATAACAACGTGAGCAAATAGTCCACTCCGTGTTATAAGAAAACAAAAATAACTTGAAAAATGTGATATTTTAGGACTACATCCTCTAAACATTGTGATCTTTTAAAAACTACGGCAACTAATCAGTCAGTAGGAAACGTAATAATTGGAAGGGTAGAACAAAAACAAAATCCGAATCTCATCACCATATTTGACATGAAACTTGAAGTCAGTGCTGTAGAAATAGGTTTAAAGTGAGTACACATTGTTTTTATGTATACAAGATAGGGTTTGAATTTACGGATCTCCAGAGATTTGATAAATTTAAGCACTCGGTCTTGACTGCTTTTACGTAATACTTTAACGTCTATCTTCATGTCAACCCTGTGACTAGTTTCTAGATTCGGCAGGGTTTCCTACCGATTGCCTCGAACCAACTAACATCCATCACTATCCACCACGATGTTGAGGTTCCTAACTTGGTGGTCATTTAGCGAAATGATCAACAGAATTCGGTCAACACTCAGGGCCAGACATCATGAAGTTGGCTGCTTTTCCATGCCCAGTCAATAGATTTTTATCTTCGTATTAAGCTGTATAAATTTATCATAGCGATCAATTGCTTTAAGCTTCTAAATCTAGTAAATAACTGTCGCTATGGAAGGGAGTGATAAATTACTAACTGAGCTCCGAACGTTATCTTAACAGCAACTTTAAAATAAAATGCGGTTACTTAGGCTTAAGAATTGGTAAGATAACAAAAAGAAGTGAGTTAATATAAGGAATGGCAACGTTTTTTCTGGATACAGTTTTGGCTCCTATTTCTGTATTGCGATATCTTCAGCAATACAAAGTAAAATGCTTCTAACACCCTTCACAAGACAACGTTGTATTTCGTAGACTGTTGTGAACAAAATCTTTGGGAAGTGTATCCACTATCAACTTAATGTACTAATATAGAGAAATTCATGTACAGGCGTCGACATCTACTGAACCATGGTTGACATCGATGTCAGACAGTCTTTCTTTGGGTACTGCATATGCATCTAGCTTGAAAGGAGCAAGCAACAATTGACATGTGTATATCAAGGAGTCAAGCACTTACACTTTGTCCTTTTCGCATGTGTTCACTGTTGAGTGACCAGAACAGTTGAGTTGCAGATTGAAGGCGTAGAATAGTCATTCGACTTCATTTTAGTACTACATCTGCTGAATCTTTATTGGATTCCAAATTGAAGAGTAGCTACTTATTTCCCAAGTTGATAGATGAATGGTGAGTAGGATTTTGATATAGATTTCTATGTGTAAGTCTCTCTGGTCACTCATTTCTAATTGGTAGACCAAACAAACCTTTCTTTTAGTTTTCATAGTGTTACTACGGCCACAGTTTGAGTACAATTACTAATCTGTCTTTCTCTTCCACAATGAAAACTTTTCGTTCACTCCTTTACGAACACTGCGATTACTAACTTCAATTAACTTATTCAAGTTGTCAAATATTCCCTTGTTTAAAATGTAACTTGCATTTCTATACTATTTTTCTGACCACAACCTATTAAGAATTACTGATTGGCAAATATCGATATATTCACGAATCCATCTGCAAACTTATCATATTTAAATGTGAACTGTACAGCTTCTGATGACGATACTGACGAAAACAAGTTTGTTTGCTTAGGTTTTTCTTTTATAACTGTGTTTCATTGCGTTGTCTTTTAATAAGGAATCTATATATGACCTCGTGGTTGAAGCAAATACCTCCATTACATTTTCTAATGTGACCAGATAAACGTCCTAGCCATCTTTTTCATACGGCAGTTCACCCTGACATTATTCATGTAAACGACAGCCGTTAGTATGGTAAGCAACGCGAATAAGCTACTGATCTTTGACGACATTTTTGGTCGTTTTCAAGTTTTTCGGTACTTTCTGCGTATCAGTAATCAATGAAGAGAAAAGAGTTATTTCTGCATAACACGAAGAGACGACTTATTCCTGTTACTTAGCTGTTCAGAACACCATTTCTGAAGTGATCTCGTTCACACTTAGCATATCACTAGCATGATAGTGGGTAAAAAAGTTCCTATCAGTTCTTGTTAATTTCGCTTTTGCAGTCGCTTTCAGTCTTTTTACTGAATGGTTCTCATGTTCAATAGCTACCGCTGAGTGTACCCTTTCAAACTGCATTTAAAGTGTGGTCGCACTCAGAATTATTCAAAGTCATCACCCTGCAGTGCTCCTTCTTGGCACCAAAAATATTACTAGTTTTAAAACAAATCAATAGAAGTATGGAATATCTTGAAAACAGCTAAATAACCTTCTACATCGTTGGTGCGTGACCTTAATTCTGTATGTCTACCTTAACGTCTAGGCACCCGCCAGTTGACATTCGATATTTTCGTATCCTCTTCGTGATAATCAACAGTAACGTTCTCAGAGAGCCTAGACAGATAAGTTTGACATTCTACCTCTAGAATACCGTTTACACCTCAGACAAATAAACTACTCGTCTGAACACTTTCTACTATCCAACGTTGTTTTCTTATTCGTCTTTTGTCATCAGTACTTATCCGAAAGTAAGTAGCTGACTAGTCTGATACTGATGCACATTGTTTTACGTCCAGCTGATCAGGCACTAGTAACATGACCAAACTCTTAAGACCCTTTTCTTGCGGTTTATTCAGTGCTTTTTATGAACTTAAACATACTAACTTGTAATTCAACGGTTAAAATTTGTATATGAACTTAGGAAACGAAATCAATTATTATAATTAGTAAATTTTGTTTTCAAATCAACAATTAATATAAACCCAGAAAAAATTCATTCATCATAGCTAACAAACTTAAAGTAATGCAATCATAACGGTTAGCTGTAATATACTAAGTATGTAACAGTAAGAATTTTATGAAGTCGAACTAGGAGTGAAGGGTCTTGGGCTAGGAATGCTAACCTTTGGAATACAACCTGATGATTAAAGTTTTAAATAATTCGCTAGAAATTTCCAATTTTGCATGAACGCTTCTAAACAAGTATACCTCTTTGGTAGACGTTAGTTGGATGGGGGCAGTCGGCAGGAAACCCTGGACCTAGGATTTGTGCATTTTGGAACTTGTCAGGAAGGCGTATCTGTAACCTCCACGGAACTGTTTTCCTGCCTGAGATCGGAACCCTCGTCACCCAGACGTTACCACTGAGCTGATTGGGCAGTGATAGATCTCTTGTAGGACTGGACTACATACATTAATTGACCATTGAAGGGTAACCAGCTTCATGTTGTCACGTCGATCATCACTTAGAATTAAACAACATGAAGTTGATTACTCTGTGATAACCAGTCAATATAAGTAGCTCTAAAACCATGTATAACTACTTTGTCGATAAAGTTTCACTAGTAAATCATCTAACCAGTGTCATGAACCGTAATATATGATACTAAATTTTTGTAAACTAATAAAATATACTAATGAAAAACTCTACCAGTTGGAAACCATATATGCAAAGATTGCAGGCTGAAATTAATGATGTGAAACTGCCTGATCAGTTGTATACAGTAGAAAATAACTACATTTTAGTATACTAAATTCATGATGTATCATAATTTTATGAAGTATGATAAAATCACACTGTTATGGCTCTACTAAACTTCTGATATTTGAAGACATTTTTGAAGAAAATTATCTTCACTGCGATGTGTTTTTCAATGATGTAATTAAAGATCGTGACACTATTTAAGCTATCGTTGACGCCAAGTATGGCTGTAGTAGTAGTAGTATTTGGGTGATGCTCCACTAAATATAAAGGTGCCAATGTATTAAGCATTGAAAGAGGATTTTTTTAATAATTTTAATAGGCAAAAGCGTCTTAGCATGAAGGCACTTGAGCCAAGTATTTTTATGTGATTCTTCCATACTATTAACAATAATTTTGTACAAACTTAATTCAAATGAAACAACTTAACCGAATACCAAAACTGTCAGAACGTCGAGTAATTGCCTTAATTTCAAATATTACTTATTATCTCAGTAGTAAAGAGCGTTTCGATACACTGAACTCGTAGAGAAATGCGAAAACTACTACTTCTAATCTATTCTAAAGAAGAATGATTACTCATGCAACTTCATCAGAAGGTGTCTTTCCAACTATGAAGTCATTCATAGGAGTCAAAGAGAAAAGCTGTCATTCTCACATAAAGACCAAGTTTATTCAAACCATTTGGAATGGGTGTAGATTTTCTCTTTAGACTATAACATGGATACTAAAGGATACAACAGCTCAGGAGAAGAAACTAAATACCATTTACAAAATCAAATGTGATAAATACTACATTGGTGTAAATGGTCAACGTCATCTTCTTTGTTTGCACCAGTTTAATCGGCGTTTAAACGTGGTGACATACTAAGCCTTATATGATTGTATGTGGACACTTGTGAGTATAAATTCATTCTTTAGAATATAGAAATCTTGGACAAAGGAAACACAAATAATACCAGAGATATTCTGAAAGCTTTTGACTCCGATCAATCAAAAATAGGTTGCTACCTGGTTCACAAACTATTGCGAGAAATTTGCATAACGAAAAGATCATTTATAATAAATAAACCCATTCCAGGTAGTTTACATCACGGATTGACATTAAATGGGGAGTCGTTACACACTTTTCGGCATTCTATGACTGTTCCGTCCTTTATTGGAAATCCTCATGACTGCACACCCGTGATTTCTTGATGAAGTGAGTTCATCATCGTCTGGCAAGCATGTTGCGATTCAGCCACTTGCTTGAGATTTAATGGTCTTTGATTTTCCAACCGTACAGTTGCGGAGCTTAAATTCTTCAAAAACTTACAGTTTGTTTAAAATGTTGAAGGTGTGTTATACAACTGGTTTATTGATTGACACTGATATCTATAAATGTTAACTAAATAGTGTCATATTTTTTTTTACAGAGAAGGCGACACTGGCGATATTATGGATGAAGTAAGAACTCAACTAAAAAGGATGGCGATTACGGATAAATGCAGGATTGATGATATGTTTCTTACATATAATAAAAATAGACTTGGTTTTATCGATATTGAAAATCTGAAGGATATGTGTAAGAAGATAAACATCCCACCAGATGTGGATGTTCTAAATGCGGTAAGTTTTCTCTTTCTTCTCTTTTTCTTTAACTTCAACAGATGTCCACTGTTAATTCCTATATGCTGGAGCTCTTCTTATTTCTGATGCCGTAACAACTATGTTGTCACTACAAAAAGCTATGCAGACATGAACATTATATGGTCTAGTATAGTAGCGTATTGGTTTCACTTGTCAATCTTCATGTGAAGGTAACCCAAACAAAAAAAGATGATATATGTAGCCTCAAGATGCAGCAAAGTAAAATGAACGATTCAGGTGACGAAAATAAGACTTGGATACATTTACGTCACTGATATTGGTTCTTGGCCAAGTGATAAAAAGTCTCCCATAGTCTGTTTCACTTGTCTTTACTTATCCCTGCTGGGAAGCCACCATAATCATGAGTTGTCCACACCGACCATTAGAAACTTAATGAATTTACCGCACGTTTTTGTCTGATCACTAAAAGCTTTTCCCTTAATTAATCCTCCACCACTGTTGGAGTAAATGGTGGATAGGTATGCTTAACGCAAGTTGTAACTACTTCAGACGATAACAGTGTCAAAGGCTGTGTCTGTATATATGTCATGGGTCAAGAATTTATTCATTGGTACTGATACATGCTCGCTTGATCTTTTCCTAAACCTTGATGAACCTTTGATCATTCTATATCTGTTTTCTTTTCCATTCATTTTCATATTTTTGCTTTCCCATCTACTATTTTGTAAGATGATGTGCGTCTATGATAAATGTAACTCTACTGACTACCAGAAGGATTTCACGTGGACATAGAAATCATATTACACCTGAAGAACAATTTTTGGTGTCATTCACATGTATAACAATATTTTCTTACCTTGGCTACTTGCATTGCGAAATTATAACGACAGTACTTTATGACAGACACAGGCCATGATTATTTGTCTTTCATTCTTAAAACAACAGTGCAATTCTTTTGAGACAATTAAGCTTACTCCCTCGACTTTTAACTTACCAATCAGCTACTCGGAACCTCTCCACCGAAGAGGCTTTCATAACCAAGCACTGTTGTTATTTGATACTTGTAATCTCCTGTTGCTATACTGAGTCGAACTGCTTGACTTCTGTTAGCAGATAGGCTCCTATGCAGATGTCTTGATACTACTTGATTAATAATAATGTTGATATCTGCCTAGTGGCAAGCAGTCGCTTCCAGGATGCGCGCTTTGTCCTATTTGGGACTCGTTAACTGAATTTTCCGGCACTTCAGTGAGTATTGTTCCCACTGAGACTCAAACTCAGTACCTGTCGCTTCAAACGCCAAAGCGTTATCCCTTAGGTCGAGCATTTTGATCCAGTATAGCAACCGGAGGTTAAAATTGTCTAACAACGACTGATATATGTTTCACAAGAGTTGGTTCTCTTGTCCAAGTGGTCTAGTGGATAAAGATTCGATATTCTAAGCAATGGGTACTGGATTCGAGTCTCAGTCGGGTGGAGGTGTATCCAGCTGCAGAGTCTTGAAAAGGATGACGTGTGCATCATAGATTCTACTGCTAGCCACTAAGCAGACATCAACAAGCACTACTGTAGTGTGTGCTACTCATAAATAAACGTGTAAGTAGTCTTGGGCACTATATGCCTCGTGAAAGCGGTTTCAGTTGTCATTCAGTCGGCAGAGGTTCTGAATGAAGCTAGAAATCAATAAAGGACATCGGAAAAAAAAGCAATAGGAATTGAAGGTCGGTTCATTTTGAGTGTGCGATAAGGTAACTATTCACACGAACTGTGTAGAATGTTAAGTTTTCATATTTTACCAATATATTCAGTGTAATTTCCTTACAAACAACCTCATCAGACCTCGACTGTTTTGCTTTCTGAACTGTTATCAGCAATACTGTAACTGGTGTGGCATACGGCCTAGTGCATGAGACTGTAATTGTCTTTTGAATTTCCCAATATCATCATCATTACTTTTCAATGGTATATCATAGATAGAAAATACAGTTCGAAAGCATTATTCTATTATTAAAATTATTTGTCCTTTGGTTTACTAGTGAAACATAGGGCTCAACTAGCACGTCACCAGTTCACTCTCTTCTCTCCAGTCCTTTCAACTTGGCTCCACCACTACCCACAAGCTTCCAATTCCTCTTCACACGATCTCCTCCATGTCATCCTCGCCTCACACGACCAACTCGTCGTTTCCCATGCGGGTTCCACTCGACGGCCTAGCCTACTCTGGTGCGTGGTGTCCCCAATCGGTCTTCTCAGTGTATGCACAATCCATCTCCACTCTCTGCTGCATATTTGTTGGGTGATAGGTTCATGGTTGGTTCGTTGCCAGCCAGCCAGAGTGAGTTCCTTGTTGCTTATTCTTTCTAACCATCTGATTTCCGGTGTCCAGTGAGCTTACGGGGTAACTGTTGATGACTGTCGGTAGTTTGTTGGAAATGCTTCTCATAACTCCTCACCAAATCTCTCAACCATCACACAGAAGCACTGAATTCACTGAATCAGTGTTGGAAATCGGATCTTGTTCACGCTTTATGCTGAGTGTAGTAGATCTCCACACTGGTTTTAGATTAATCAAGGCCTGTCTCACTTTTCCGATCCTGGCTACTTTCATATCCTCATCTGTGCCACCACCACCTGCAGTCGCAATGTTGCTGCCTTGTCTAGGAAGGTAGGTGTAAGAGACAACTTAATCTAGGTTTCTTTCGTTGGTTGTGATCACTGATTTTGTTGATGTCGTTGTTCGTTGGGTATCTTCATCACCTCCGTCTTCTCTACGTTCACTTGAAGTCCCGTCTTCACTGCCACACCTCTTCTGTCAACTTGTTGGCTTTCGCTTGTAGATCTCAAAGCTTGTGCAACAACACACTAGACATAAATCCTCATTGGCAAAATCCAAATCGTCTACTGGGGTCTTTTCATCGGTCAAACAGAGCATCCCCCTCTTATCGCTCATCACGGTTTGCTGCATGATCCAGTCCACCACAATCAGGAAGATCATCGGTGATAGTAGACGGCAGCCTTGTCTTACTCCGGTCTTCACTTCAAAAACATCACTCAGCTTTCCATTGTGAATCACTCGGCATGCACCATCATGAAGCATACAGCTGTTGAATGAGGTTGATAAAGGTTTGTGGCACTAAAGCCATAGTGTTGAGGCAGTTTCCAAATTACTCCTCGGTCGACACTGTCGAAGGCCTTTTCAAAGTCGATGAAGTTGAGGTAAGGTAAAGAGTTGCTTTTCTGCCAATCTATGCTCTGTTCTACTATGATGCCTAGCTTAGCGTAGCGTTGCGTTACAATTTGATCCACACATTATTTCTTCTTCCTGAAGCCAACCGGTCAGCCTGTTCCAGTCGTAATTTGAATCCAACACATCTTTTAATCTCTCTCCAGGATGATGCGGCATAATATTTTGCTAGCAGTGGACAGCAACATGATTCCGCACCAGCTCTTGCAAACACTTAGGTCTCATTTCTTCGGAAGTTTGACAAGGTAGACCTTCTTCCAATCTGCAGGCAACTTTCCTCATTTCTATACCCTCTGGAATAGTGGTGTGGGCATCTCCCTTGTTGTCTCTGCGTCAGTTTTCAGTGCTTCTGGAGGAATTCCATCTGGTCTTGCTGCCTTTCCAGATTTTAGCAGCTTTATGGTGTTCAGGACATCACTTCCGCTTTTGTCGGATGGCTTGTGTTCACTGGTAACTCTGTGGCTGGACTACTGGTGGTATTTCTCGTCCAGTTGCTGATGGTGGTGGTGGTGGTCGATTCAAAAGCTTTTCGAAGTGGTCACCCCATCCTCTCCTTTGTCTATCCTCTCTCTCTCTCTCCCTCTCTCTCTCCTTGCTAACTAGGTTTTCTACACTATCTCTCATTGGTTTCATCTGCGTTGATCTATTCCCTGCCAGATAGTAACCTGGTTATTTGATATAGTGTTGTCAGGTCTCTCCTACAAACAGCCTGCAGTCTGTTCTGCTCCACCTGCAAGTGTGTCGTACAAGTGTCCTTTGTGTCTCCCTGCACTCCTCTCTCCAGTTTAGTCTTTCGTAAGTTGTGTCCAGTTCCGCTTTTCATTCTTCATCCCTGCACTGCACTGTACTGGTTCATCTTCTGCTTCACCATCATCTTCACCCTCCTCTGTCAGCCACCATGTGTCCATCGAGATCCATTCCTTGTCCTCTCTTGCTTCGTCTTCCTTCATAACACGCTTATGCAGGTTTCCTTCCACATAGCTTATGAAGAGTTCTTATTCTTTCATGCACGTTTCTTCACGGATGTCGCCTATTTCGTCTCCCATTTCATCATCATCACTGACTGATGTGAAGATGTCTCTCGTTGTTTCGTCTCTCTCTTTCTCTGTTCTTCGTGTTGAACTTCAACTGTGGTCTGTCACCAAATTCTTTGAATTGAAGGCTTCCAACTTGATTTTCAATGTAGGTTCCTTGCACTAGATAGTGAATGGTGTCAACCTACTTCTGCTCCCTTTCGTCATCTTGTGTCCAGTAGGCTGCGTCTTCATATCAACATTCCCAACACTAAAATGAAGTCGATCCGACTTTTAGTGTGTCCATTCAGTGAACTCAAATCCATGTCGCTCGCTTTGTGAATATCCTTGTGCTTGAACACACTGCCTCCAATCACTAAATCGTTGAATGCGCTCAGGTCTAAAAACAATTCTCCATTCTCATTCACTTCACCGAGTACTTCTAGACCCATGATTGGTTCTCTTCCAGTGCTGTCTCCTCCCACTTCCGCATTCATGTCACCCCACTCATCTTTAGAATGAATTCTGATGTCGCCAACTGGAGTGGGGTCCTGTCCAGACTGATTGTAGTTGTCTGTAGAATTCCTCCTTCTTCTCTTGATCCGCATTATTTGTAGGTGCGTAGTACTGGCGTTCTATGATTGTCACTTCCCTTCATTTCGATTTGAATCTTCCTGTCATGATCCTGATCCTGCAGGAGGAGATTGCTTCCCACCGTATGAGAGAGAGCCTTCGATGCTGTTGTGAATATCATAATAGCCACTCGAAAACTCAGTGTGCTGTGCTCGTGGTCATCGTCTGGGTGACAATATCGGAGTAGATTATTGACTCCTCTCCAGCTGACAGTTTGGAGGGTCCACTTCCATCCTATCTACTTTCGCAGATTCCAAGCACTTCTATGCAATATCTTTTCATCTCCTTCACGATCTGGGCAGCCTTCCCAGCCAGCTTCAAACATGGTGAGGACATTCCATGTCCCTAGGCTTACGTTTGCTTTCATCGAGAGAAAGGAAAAATACATCTGCCAATTGGCTTCCCGAATTGTTTTATCAACCGGTGTCATTTTGTCTCCTCGATTGCAGCGAGGAGTATGTTTAATTTTATTTTTATATTTTCTTTGTGCTTTGAAGTTTCTTTGGCGGTTAGATTGGTTTTCCGGGGTAGGATTGCTAGCCCTATGTGTAACCTTCCCTCTTTATCTGGGCTTAGGGCCGGCTAGTAACTAGTGAAGTAGTTATCTTGGCGAGGTTATTATTCTATAGTAATAACCTTTTACCGGCCAGTTTAGAGCAACGCTGGAATTTGAGTACAATGTTGTCCATATGCTGCTGTTTTTATTAGTTTTATTGATAGGTGCTTAAGGAGGACTATTATAAAACTAGTTCAATGAAGCATCATGCTTATAAATAACGAACCAGACAAACCAAAAACCAGTAATTGCTGTTTCATCAAACGTCAGCCAACCATGTGTTGACGAAATAAGTGCTCATTACAGTTTTATTGTCAGGTGTGAGAAAGTAGTAAAGTGTATTCCGTAAATGAACAGAAATCTATGTTGATGCCAGCTTCCTCATAGGAAAAAGCAATCAGAGAAGGTTGTTGCCGAAATTAGTGCACTCCTATCTATTCTATGCTTTTCCAATACAACTGATATGAGTTTATCTTGTCTGAATGGAAAAGTCAACTCCAAACTGAAAATTCTCAGAAAAGGATGAGTAAGTAATCTAAAGCAAATTTCCCTTGAACTCAGAAGTTATGCTGCTTGATCAATGAGAGGACTCCTGCCAAAGGATCTTTTTTATAAGTATTCAGGAAGAAGTATTCTTATACAGGATGTAGGTCCTGGGGGTGTCACGTACCCTCATATCTATGTTAGACTATTCCTACATTCTCTTTAATTCCTTCTATCTCTGCAGCCATTGACAGCTATCTGAATTCACAAAATAGCATCACTGATCTTCTGGAACCGCTCTCCAAACTACACACTGGAGCTTTTGATGTCTGCATCCTCCATCATGTCTTCGAACAAGCTTCGTTAGCCAAAACACTGGTATCTCGGGCCATTGTCGTGTGATGTGCTTACAAAACATGAATACAAGATGGAAGTGTGGTTATTTACTTGACCTCACCCGGTCAATATGGCCAGTTCACATACAAAAAACTCAAATGATTTTCCAAAATTCACGGCATTTATGGTGCTGATGAAATATCCAACTTTCTACTGAGGTTCAAGTGTACTGTAGGCAGTCCGTTTGGCTCTACAATAATGGTCATGAAACATAGCCATTTAAGGAGGAGTATATAAGGAGGCTGAAGGTCCTCTATCACCGTCACCTTCTTAACGCTGCTGGTGTTTCGTAAGTAGCACAGAGGTCAGGCATTGAGGTAGAAAATAAATAAATCAGTTGATAAGTTTGCATACGTCTATCCAGCGAAGCAGTTGGGACACGTATTGCACGTGTACAGTCATCAACTGCTCTGAATTAGGTTTATGTTGAAAAAGGGTCAAAGGTAGCGATACTAATATATGGGGTCAGTTCATGAAGTCCTTGAATGATGTGAGTCATATGACAAAATGTAGACTTTTCGGTTGGGGTCCACACGACGACTGAAACTGGTGGCTGGAGACTCTAAGCGGTATGAATCAGAATTAATATCAGTAGTTCAGATGTACCATAGGTTATCCTCATCGTTATTCTTTTGTTTGCTCAGCCCCTTCTTCTCTTCCTATGACTTCCTACATATTTTGTCTGTTTTTCCACTTCTTTTATCTCTTACTTTATATATGATGCAGTGAGGTCAAGTAAGTTGACTCCTTACACTTTCACGCACTGGTTTTGTTATTTTAGATTAAGTTTTGATAATATCGCCCCTTCAGAATTAGCATTCGTCAATACACAGGTGATATATGCCTATTTTTTTAACTGCCATATTTTGAATGGTTTAACCTCAGTATATAATTCCTTCATTTCTTTTCTAGTTACTTGATAAGTACGGTACTAATGGAAGAATGTCATTGGAACAATTTGGGAAATTTTTTGAATTACCCTAATCGATATGTAACGGGCATCATGTTCAGTTTTGAGAAAATTAAAAAAAAATGTGTATGTTTTATTTGTTGTGTAGCTGCAATGTGGAAAATGACTTCTAGTACTCCTTCTTCGTAATTATTATTTATTTAATTTGGTGATCACTCTTTCTAAGTTTATGTATACATATTCGCATGTCATTGCATGACATCCAATAGAGATAAATTTACTCAATAAATTATGACCAGAATAAAGTCAGAAAACACTTCTAATTAAAACAATATGTTATTGTATATTTCACCAGAAAATCGAAATGTTTACGAAGACCATAGTTTACTAGAATTCAAACTATATAAATTGAAGAGTGTAAGAATAAATAAGTGGATATGAAAAATTGGTGGCACTTTAAAAAAAAAATATAACTGTTGTGCAATTAATTGTAATGTAACTTATAAATAGAAAAGAAAAACATAGAAAAACGGTCACTTCGAAGATAATGATCTTTTCGATTGGTCACTTTCAAAGGTATGTATTTGTAAATATATATGGTTCAAATGATATAAATTTCCAGAACAGCCACTGTTCCAAGGTCAAAGTCGATAAAACAATGAAGTTATGTCTAGCAGATGAGTGTGGGGATATTACATAATACGGTAAAAGTGCCGAAAATTTCAGAAAGTTGGTGAATAGAAAAAATGGAAAAGAAAACGAGAACATCTTCGTATTACATTAAGGTTTAAGTTAGAAATTTACAAAGTAAGTAAAAACAAAGCACTACAATATGACAACTTTACGGTGGATACAAAGAAAGTGACTTTACATATTTCTTTTTGAATGTACAGATGAGGCTTGAACTTATGGGCTACTTTAACCGCACGTAGATGTCTCATGCTTACGCCATTTGGTAAAACTTTGTGGAGGACATTGAATAAAGTTTCGATAGGAGCTACATGTTCCAAATTGACTACATGCTCACTGGTATAGACAGAGATAGTCTTGTCTTCATATTTTGATAAAATAATAGGGCATTTTTCATGGATGCGTTTTGCATTTGACTCCATAGACTTAAGTGAAATCATAGATACACGCTGGTGAAGCCCAGTGCATCAACTTGTCTTTTACACATGATGAATCACCCATTGGCACAAAAAGATTATACGAAAAGTTGTAGTGAAGAATGTTCCGATTAGTGACTTCATAAATGTTTAAGTCATCTTACTCTTTGGAAGATGCCTGGTTATTTTCCACAATACAGACAGTTGCAAAGTAATTCTTCTGAAGGTCTTGAGTAAAATCTGAGCATGTTTTTGTCACAGGTTTCAAACCTGTTAAATTTAAATTGATGTTTCAGGAATGATCTGTATCGACTTCCAATTTAGCGATGTAGAATAAAATGGTGAAATCTATTGATCATCAGTTGTTGATGAAATCTTAGCTAGGAGGCATTTTCCACTTTAAGCCGATAACGCTGTCGGTGAAACGTGTGACTACACATCAAAGGACAAGTATATTGCGTAGCGGTCCACTCTGCCGCATATGCGGCTATGAGTAATGACTCATGGGAACAGAAGATATGAAAATATCACATGCTTTTTATCATGCATGGCTTCAAAGTACTGTGGAATCACTGTGTGAACTCTAATGAAGTTAGGCGGAGGGTACTAGGAAAGGAAGTCAGTTGATTGGGTTGTGCACCTTCACTGACTGAGGTGGCTTGGAAATGTGTTGCACATGTTGACCCACCACTTACCTCAACGGGTAATGCTGGCCAAAACAATATTGGGCTTGAAGAAGGCTGTGAGTAGCCAGACCACGACGTTGTGACAGTTCTATAAAACCAATGACTCTTGGTTTGAACGATGTAGATTAATTGACTACGATCCTCAATACTTAATCAATCAATGTTTATAACGTTTGGCTGTATGCTTCCGAATTGGATACAGTGGCACAGATGAATATCCCCTTTGGCGTCTACGAGATTTTGATTATTTTTCAAAATTTCATGCACTGATTCTCCTCACTCTCATACAATTTTATCGACTTTATTGTCAATATGTTTCTCTCTCCTTCCTCTTTGCATGTTAATGTGAAATGTGGTAATGTGAACTCATACATTCATGTGCCACTTTTTAGGTTAATTTTTATCTCTGTCTGAATAAGTGAAAACGCTTGACAGTACAATTCTAAAAGGTGAATAGGAGTACAGATATTAATATGAGTGTAAAGCTAGAGCAGTGTATAAGAGTATAATTCCGTACTGGATTGTTCATTTGATATCGTAAACAGTGATACTGTTTTATTAGCCAGATAACTTTGGAACTATAAATTGTTATTCACGATTGAATTGAAATCAACAAAACTAAAAGGACTAAGGTAATTTCAAATAGGTGAATAGACCTTATTGATGTGAACTCAAAAGACAATAAGCTATCAAATTGAGTTCTAAAGTTTCTACTCAAATGATTGGAGTTGATCCAGATGAGGTAAATGATTCGGAAAAAAGGAATCAGCCAGTCGAGTTAGAGCTGATGATTTCTATTGGTTCAATGAAATGAAAACAATCATGGAGAAATAAGAGAACCTAATCTGTGAATTGAACAGAAGTTGGACTAGACAATTAAACAAATATACCAATCAAATATTGATTCTTTTAACGTTTCCAAGGTGTTACTGATAATAGGGTCTTTCTAAAAAGCATATTAACGAGAACTGCAATGCACAGTACATTTATTTCTGTATCAACAGAGAAAACTAAGTTTACTGGGTCGGATTGTAATCCTTCTTTCTTGACTAGAATTCAACGAAATGTAGGTGACAATATTACTATCACTTAGAACTCCTCACGTCTCACTCTTATATATATATATATATATATATATATATATATATATATATATATATATATATATCTGCATAAAACTTACACCAATCATAGTGATTTGTCAGTTAACGATAACAAGGATGTATACTATGCACTTTCAAATGGAGAAAGTAATAGCGATAATAACGGTAATATAAATGACGATAAGAACACTGAGAACGGTGTTTTTTTTACATAAACAAATGTTTCGACAGTCAAAGTGGATCAAGACTCGGAAAATAACATACAGGTTGCGTAATACTGAACAAATAAGTTTTAATGTATTCCCAGGATGTTTGAAAAATCTAAACAAGATTTTTCTAAACGTTTCACTGTATATGCAACAGCTTCTTCAGCAGAAAATTTGTATTTATATTCAACATCAAAATAAATATTGTCAAACGGTACATATAAAAATTTCTGTCTTTACGCCATTGGTTAACTGATTTGATGTTCAGACTCATTATTTCTAACTAGTCATCGTAAATTCATATAGTCTTTATCATTTGTCATCATAAATAACTCAATAATCAAATTGTCTGTATGTATATAAACAAATGTTATGGAAAATGTATCTCATTCGTTGCTTATTGTATGAAAATATGGAAAACACTTATTCATGAACAATAATTGATCGATATTATTACCGTTGTTTGTATTATCCCATCTTTGAGTGGGTCGAACTGATCGGTCTCTACTGGCATACGGGCTTTAGATGACGAGTCCCAAATAGGATGAAAGCGCGCGTTCTGGATTCCACTGCTAGCCACTATCCATCAATAATATATAATTCAAACACGAGCAATATCGAAGCATCCACGCAGGAGCCCATATACTAGTAGAGACCGATTATTTGGTCCATTCAACGATGGGATAATACTAGCAACAACATTAAAACCATACCCAACGCACAAAAAGTGGCAGTCATAACTCGGTGGCCTACTGGACAAAGCGTCGGTTCCGAGTTCATGTCCTGGTGGGGGCAACATCGCTCCCTGGTAGGCAGATACTTCCAGCTGACGAGTCCCAAAGAGGACGAAACGCAAATCCTGGATTCTACTGTTAGCCAACTTCCATCATTAACTGATCGATATTATTACTTTGCTTTTTAAATGCCTAATTTCAAATAATGACCTTTTTAAGGCTGCTGGTATCCGGTAGATTGCCATGTAACCTTTATATGATGTAACTGATGTTATAGGTCATTATTTCATTCAAATCTTGTGTAGAATGAATAATTCTGAGGGTGATTTTTAGGAATTTCTCAACTTATTGTAATACTGATTATATTTATTTCAACGGAATAATGACTACTTATGTTTGTGACGCCGCCTAAAGACTACGTGACAACATGCAGGATACCGGCAGTCCCTGTCTAATATTTTTGTTGAATTAAAATCTGCCAGATAAGTGACAAATCTATTCCTTCCTTTCCGTTCAAAGCATTTTTGACGTTAAAATATGTAGGGTTTCTGAAGTGGACCTTTCTTTATGTAAATGAAAAACTTCCCCTAATTTGTCAACATTGTCAAAATCAATATTGTTTATACTTTCGATCATATGGACTGCAATTGGTGATCGCTTTTCTAAATTTTTTGAATTCCACTTCATTCTTTAGTGGATGTTTGCCACATAGCCTATGTTCAGTCATTCTAATTTCCAGCTGTCTATAACTTTCAATAATATAATTGGCTTCACAATCGGTACATTTTATCGAATACACCAAGTTGATTTATGTCATCTTTGGAATCACACCTTTCACTATGACTAAGGCTTTCTCCAAAGAATTTGAAGGTTTGAAATATACTCTAATACCCTTTCTTAATACAAATTCTTTGAATTTGTTTTGAGGTACCTTTTCTATACGGAATTGTCATTGTTGATATCCACGATTTCGTTTCAGTCTTACTTTTCTTATCTGTTTGCTTCTTGCTATTCCTCCTGAGAATATTGTTCAGAAAAGGCTTTGGACAGTCATTTTCTATTAGCACTTGTAAACTTACTTATATCATGATCACACCTGATTTGGCGCTCAAATTCTTTCAGGACATTAGTGATAACTGTGGTCTGGATGTTTATAAAGAAGTCAGTGGTTAAACCAAATCTGAATACGAGCAAGGAAGAGTTGGCATAAGAGGCACTTACTTATTTTAAATTCCACAGAAAGATCTTCATTCATGTAGTCTTCTATGGCCAAAGCAGGGATAAATACCGCACAAACTTCCGGAAGCAAAGGTTAGGCATGAATCCCTTTAACCTAGTCAGTTTCAAACTCTATTGGATGCGAAATGCGGTAGATTACTTTGAATGCTTTCATTTTGTCAACTCTTTAACCCCTAGCAGCCAAAAGAAACCAAAGGGAGCTTCATAAAGATTTAACCTAACCTTTTATCAACAACAAACACAGATTTTGGTATTATATTGCCTAGTTGCACACCTGACTTAAATGTATCTACAGAAACAAT